TATCAATAGGACTTGGCTAACCACCAAAACTGCGAATTTAAAGGCAATCACTTCAGATATGAACCCTGGTTGCATGTCATGTAGAGACTGCTTCGTAGGCTTTGGACTTGATTATTTCCTTACTTTACTAAATGTGCCAAGTATGATTCCGAAATTACCAACTAGGACAAGACTCACGCCACTACATCGCGAAAAAACTGTTTGGCGAATGAGGAACCTAAAAAAAAGCATTCACCGACTAGCCATTTGTCATTTTTAAGAAGAAGCGTAACCTTTTGGCTTTCAAAGTACAATGTCAAGTTTGTTGATCCTTGACCTTGTCGCGGTATAGATCAGTTTCCTTCACTGTGACACCTGGTGGAACCGGGTACTTTGTGAAGTAATCGAAATTTGTCCTGTCCTATCCCAATTTCACGGCCGTCTCAAACACCATAATTGATTTTATTTTTAACAGAGAATATTATGAAACATCAAGAACATTAAACCTGCCCAATGCCACGCTTTGTTTTAATAAGAAAAACTAAAAACGAGACCTAGGCCTCGCGCAGAACGTCTTTGACAGCTTGTTTATCCAGGCACTTCAACTATTGGGGTAAATCTAGCACCACAATCTGCCTCGCCGTGTCTCCATCTCACCTGGTGTGATACCAATGTGATCGGTGTAGCCGGTAGGTGTGTTTACAGAACCGGTGTATAAACATGTACACACCAGGCTGGTGGCTGTTTGACTTTCTGCTGCTAACTGTGAACTTGGGCGATGGCTGCGTCGTCACCGGTGACAACGTTGCCATCGCGACACAAATTGAGGTTTGACTAAAGCGACCGGTTATCACGTAATCGCACCAGGCACGTCGACAATCTGCGTTGAAGCAAACAAGTCTGATAAGCCGTTGCGCGCACGTGTCGCCGACGTCGTATTTCTGACATTTGACGAGCTATGAGATTAGCGGCTTACAAACGTTTGTATGCGGGCATATCGCAACTCATTTACCAAGTAAGGCTGACTGTAGTAGGTGATGTGTTGATGGTTCTTCATAAGCACTGTCGCTTCAGACAACGAACGCCGGCTGTGGTAACAGAAACAGACAATTCCTGGTTGGTGTAGGTTAGCCACGGACAAGCGAGATCGCACTTGTATTTGCTCTTCCCAAATCCAGAACACAGATGCTTTGACGAATTTCCGCCTTTTAAAGATGTGTGTTTGTGAGCAGTGACTCCTATTACAAATTGACCTCTCTCTCTCTACAGAGGTGCTTACATCATTTTGATTCTTAATGTCAGTTTTAGATGGTCAGTTTGCTGACGTTCCCGAGTGTAAACAAACAACAGGATCTAATAAACCGATAGGCTTCTGCTGACCAATCACGTGATTAGCATTGTTGCGGTTTTATTCAATTTTCCAGTTGATATCGATTGTGATAGACTTTACCAATTTTTAACAAAATAAGGCGCATCGTAGTTGTGTCCGTCGCCTCTATTGCAAAAATCCGTAAGAATGGTCCTGATTGGTTCACCATTTAGTGGCTGGGTGAAGGTCAGGTCAGGGTGGCCAATGCTTGTTGAAAGGCCAGCGGCGCCATCAAAACAAAACAATGGATGAATTGATCGCCTCTACGTAGACAGTGTTCATGTAGAAACACTGGCTCAGGAATTTAAAAGCACAAAGTTATTACTGAATTTACAGAACTCATAAAAATGAATTAAATAGTATACAGACGTGAATGTTTAAAACGAAGCACATCTCTCATCGGCATCCAGTTGCGTTTTGATGATTAAGATTACTTACAGCTCTAAGCCCTTCAGAAAATCTGATCTGGCTCTAATTTGACCCTTTAAAGATGACTCATCTCTAACCTTCTTTCAGGATGTATTCAGAGAGGGGGACGTTGATTCTGGCCAATCCGATTCAAGGCAATGGGAGAAGCTACTATTAGTGAATTTCAACTCAGTCACTGAGTGTAAAGTCTCAACAAAGTGAACAAAATCGAAAACTTTAGCTTGACTACTAAATGGCATCTAATGAATAGGAAAAACTCTAAGGCATGGCACCGATACCTTAGAAATCTTCCACTCATCTCCACCATTCACTTCTCCACAAAATGACTTGATTTATCTACTGGTGAAAACACACAGACACAGAACTCCATGGCTGATGTTTGTTCTCCTGATCTCTCTATGAGTAAAATGCTGGTTGTGCTCCTGCGACACGACAGCCTCAGGCACTACTACCAAATCCCTCTACTTTTGGCTATTTAAGTAATATGTGGTCTGATTGAATTAATTATGACATCATTATCGGCTTCATTTACTTTCCTTTATACTTTTAGTTAGGCTATGAATAATTATGGCTTAAAACTGTCAGTTTGATTAATTTCCACGAATTGTCATTGCGGAAGATCCTTTGAGGATGCAGTCAGGGCCTAAGAAAATGCACATTGCATTGCAAAGAAAAAAATCGGACTAATTGATTTGCTAAACTTCAAACGCTAGATTGTAGTAACAATTTTTTTTCGCACCATCATTCCTTAAGCCCTCCTTAGTGGACGAAGCAAACCACTGTGTTTTTTATTATGTAGTCCAATCATGGAATTAAATATTTTTTTCAATAACCTATTTAAAGCAAATGTACACAGGTTGCAAAATCGACCTTATGTTGATTTATTTTTTCCAAAAATAACAATTTTTTCCAAATAAAATTTTCGCTAACATTACGTTTCAATCACTTGATCCCCATATTCATTTTGCTTGCATCCAGAGCAATATCTGAAATAACAGAGACGGAAGAATTCGAATTACAAATTTTGTTAAGCTTAAGGCACAGGACCACGAATTTTATAATTATTCCATAGCCTGAACACATCAGTATTGCAAACTGATGAGCTGCAGCAAGGAAAAGATTATATAGAATATGCGCAGACATTACCTCCCATTCCAAAAAAAACTTATGCATGCAAAGTCACCATCGATTCAAAGAAGTACTAAAATTTCAGCAAATGAAAGTTCTGTTAACCTTGGTTTTGTATGACATTGTAATGTAATGAAGTTCGGAATTGTGTTGAAGAAGTATCTCTACTTGTGTATATTCGATTTTCGTTACCAAAAGTCATAACAAATTAAAGATGGACAAATCGATATTTTGAGAGTAAAAAAAATCCTAAGACTAGACTATTCATCTTTGTTTATAGAGAACTTGATTGATCAGGTGCCCTATCAAACGCTATGTTGGCTACTACTTTCCATAGAAGTTGCAAAAACTACAAGTTAAGATGACAATAACATACCCAAAGCTGAAAGATGGAGGGGACAGCTAGAGTTAAAATAAACTAAGATGGTTTAGATGCCTTTTTGAAATTTTTGGAGTGTTGGTCCTCGTAACGTGATGCCAAATAGAAAAACGTTATTATTAAGTAGGTCAAAAAAAAGTATATTTTAATGCAATGGGGTACTAAGACAGCACTTTTTTGTCATTCTGACATATTGTGAAAATTTTGAAATTTTTTAGAATGTATGTTATGATAACGTTGTTTTATGACGCATATTAAATTAAATCACTAATGTGTAGGCTTGTAGGAAAAAAAATTGGTCGAATTAATGGATATAATGAACCGTATGGGCCAGGCTACCAAAGTAAATGACACAATAACATTTGAATACGTTACTTCTTAAAGAAATCCCGAAACTGCCATCTGGTACAAAGTGAGTAACAAAACTTGCAGACAGCTAATGTCACCCTTCATCACCTTGTATATTCGACCAAATCATTTAGGCATACTAAGAGATCAAATGTAACTTGATTGGTTACTGACCTGATTCGATGAACAGATAAGACTGAAAGGATTGTCAACCGACCTTATGGCAGTTTATGCTTAAAACTATAGGTAACAACACTCCCATCACGTCCATTCAGTTAATAAATGTAATCGGGATACCTACTGACATATTGTCAATTTTACACTCCAGCTACTAGAGAAGGCAAAAAAATAATTGAAGGAGTTGTGAAACTGAACAATGTTTTAAAGTGTTACAGAATTTACCTTTAGTGTACGAGTCATACTTGACTAACCATCTTTCTTGCAAACAAATCTGGTAAGATCCACTTGTTGAACTCTAACAATTTTATTTATTTTGATTTTGTTTTGATCAGTAGCCATTACGCAGCAATTTATACATTCATTTAATACATACTGAAAACTGCGACCGTGGTCGCAAGGACGAGGTCACTGAATCTCATTGGTTGGTGTGCAAAAGGGTTTCTACTAGGAGTGAAACGGACGACGCTTAACAGTCAAGCCCCAGCAAGATGTCGGTCGGGGTGATCGTTGCTCCCCGTCCTCGGCCAGTGAAGCTGTCGCTGCTAATAGAATTTATGTGTCAGAAGACCTATACTGAAATGATGCATTTAGTTGATCTGTAAGGTGTCCATTTTGCTCTATTCTGCAAGCCTCCCAAGCAAAACAGACTTAGAAAAGAAGATAGAATTAGCGAAGTTCTTTAGCCGAACAAGGAATCTTTTTATTAGACTAGAGGCTCTTGCGAAATGGGCTAATAGTTCTTCAAAGGTCGATAAGTGTGAGGTTTGTTGTGCCGACTTGGCCTATCCTCCTGTAGAAAATCTCGAATTTTCTCGAAGAACAGAGCCTATTCCTTCTTGACACAGCAAATGTCCTGTCGTTCTTGCACCAAAACCACCTCGTTTCTGCAAGGTAGATTTTATTTCGGTCGCTCCAATTCTAGGTTGCCCCCTTTTTCCATGCTCCTAGCTGTTGACATATTTGTCAACAAGACGTACACACGCCTTCCAAAATGCATTAAAGTAACTATATTGTTTAATGATTTTATATTAAGTCTCGTTTCGTTCCTCCGGAACCTATCACGGATGAAGAAGTACGGATGGGACTGCTTGATCTGAACAGAATAATCAAATATCGGCTAAGCGTAACGCAATTTCCTCGACATTTCACGAACATTGTTATCCGTAGGCCTCTTTCTGAGATAATTCCATGGTTTTAGAACGAGGAAGAGTTACGTTTACGGTACCGCACGAGTTTAAGGTAGGTCTTTCCTCCGTAACATGTGGCATTTTGTAGGTCACCCTCACAATGCTCTCAGAAGCGTTGGACTTCCCTTGGCGCATCATTTCCGTCGAATTTTTAGTTTCCGATCCTGAAAAGAATAGTGAGTCTTTCAGCTGCTCTTAACTTCATTGTTTCTAAACTTTTGGTCACCTTCGACTTTTATTTTAGTTAGTGGTCCTCTTATTCACCCTCGACAGACTCGCTTCTTGGTGCAGCAGGCCCAGTCGCGAATTCTTTACCAAAGTTTCGACAAGCGGCCACCACTAGTGCATCTCTATGACATGCTGCGTATGTTAATTTTTGGTGGCCATTACATATCACCACGTGTTTTGTCTAATAGTTTTTTTCTTCTTGTTTTGGTAGATGCTTTTGCAACCTCCTTGCAGTTAGACGTGCTCTACGAACAGGCTCAGCGTCTGCGGTCCAGGCGACCCACGGACCCCTTCAATATTGAATGCTATCGACCTGGTCAACTGCTCAAAGTTATCTACTGGCGGGGTCTTACTAATTGTAACTATCAAGCAGTGATGGGTCCTGACGGTAAAATGAGGCCAGCGGGTGAGTTGGTACATTCTATAAATTGTTTGGTGCATCCCTATACTCACTTATTTCTCGATTTCTTCTCAGTGTACTCAATAAGCATTCACGTGGACCCATTGGATCCGCAACGGCCGCTGAGTTTGACACACCATCCAGAATTGAGTGCCATTGATGTACATAAGATCGGTTCATTTGTTCGAGTAAGTGCAGTGGCCTGCGTCTTTCCCCAAATCTACTCTTCTTCTGACATAGTTCTATGCTTTTAGGGTGACTGTCTTTCAATCGAAAACTTGCTGACTCGAACAATAATCATACGAGCAGAAGCAATACTCATGGATATCAAACGTGAACTCCTTCCCCTCTCACCAGGCCCCATTGTGACCAGTGAGATCCCGCTGTGCTTGTCTGTGCCTATACTCTGGCCTTGTTACACTCATGAACTACTCTACCTTCGAGTTGACTCAGCACAAGGTCATTTGCGGGCGTCATTTGCAACTGAGTCTATAAAAGGTCCACAACTCTTGCGAGAGCTTGAAATGGCGTTCAACCGTCCGTCCTGTCGTCGAGTTAACTTCGACCACGGTTCTGCCACGGATTACCGAGCCGGTACCCGCGGAATGCGTAGTCTTGCCGGAGACGACGCGCGATGGCAAGCACGACTCGTGGACATTTTCGCTCGCCTTCGGTGCCTCCTCGGCCAGTGGCGTATCTCCTCTGTGCACCACAATCGCCCCGTGCGCGATTCCCTGCCGATTGCTGTCCCCACAGACAAGTCACTCGACTTACCCTACACGGAGCTTTTGGAGCGCGCTCAGCAAGGTCGCGTTGCCCTCTCCTACATCAAACTCTTTCCCAACGATGACCACTACCTTGTCTGCGAAATAACTCCAACGCCCAGCCTCTCCGTGGATTACCAGTACTATATGATGAAGTGTGTGTCAATGCCTGTGACTGTGACGGACTTCCATGTCCCGTCAGGTGGTCGTTGGCTCACCTACAACCCCAACCACGTGGCCGACAGTTCTGGCGCAGTCAGCTCCCCCAGTGTTGTACTACGCATCACGCATTTTCTGCCTTTCAATGGGAATGTCCTCGCGCCTTCGATTAAATCCACTTTCTCGTGCAGGCAGCAGCAGCAGCCACCGGTACGTCGTTAATTTGTCTCGGCTATTCACGGTAATTTTTTTACATTCCGCACGAACGTTTAGTGGTGCAAAGTAAGATAATGCGTCGCCTTGAATGCATAAAACAGCTGAAAACCACTGGCAGACACATTGTGTGTTGTAAACAGCAAACACCCTCAGTTCAATGCCACTAATAGGCTGATTTTTCTTGAAGGTGCTAATTAACCTGGCTGGATTGCTTCGATCCTGATTGGTTGTTTTGTTGAGTGAGGCGAATCTTGTTGACTGCAATTTCGGGTTTGTCTAGTGATCGTACCTGTTCGTCTCCTTCTCTCCTGTGCTGCAATGTTGCATAACTGAAACCCAGGGGTGGTCGACCTTAATCCCCGAAGCATCAACCCCGTTGGATGATTATGTGAGCTTGGTGCAGTGTCTTCTTCGAAAGACTTTTGCTTCGGTTTTCAAGGATTACGCAGACAATCGCCTAAACGTAGAACGCGTTTCCTGTGTGGTTTTTGTTACACCAACAAAGCGTGTATGTGTAGGGATCCATAAGGCTTTGTAATCAAAGCAGAGAAGCGCGTGTTTACGGGGCGTGTTCGTCTGTCTAGAAATGGGGGTTAGATGTGTTGCTTCAAGCAATTAACACGCACACAAACACGAATTGGCAATAGGGTCAGGGACATTGACTCTGCAGGCAAAAATTCGGAAACGTCGTCTGCTTGGTTTGCGGGGTCGGCGTCAGCCCGTTGTGGAGCTGCTCGTTCCCTTTCACACTGCTTGGACGCATTCGTTGTGGAAACGCGGTGCTGTCTCCCCGCACGACGGGCTGTTTGTCGCACTCGACGCTCGGACGTGATATTGAGTAGGTGGTGGCAGTGCTCTATACATTCCTTCATAAGAATGTGTGTGTAGTGTATAGTTGATGAGTAGGATGTTAGTTTCCGCTGCCTGTGCTGGTTGTGTGGGTGGAAAATGGGATGAGGCAGTGTTCACCTGTGATTCACGCACATTTCGAGTGACTCCACGAAGAAGGAATGAAAAAAGTCGATTTATTCTAATCCGCGAGGAGCAAGAACGCCGTTCACAGACCCCCTCCGTCCGTCATGCTGTGAAGGGCGTCAGCCATCGTGGCATTGTGCGGGCTAACGTGCGGCTGAAATGCTGTAAGCAAGATCACACACGAAGCGAACAAACTGGTAAATTTCACCTTTTCCAATCCACACACCAGTCTATTTTCGCCGTGCGACGAATCACTGTGAACGGGGGTTATAGGTGAGAATTTTTATTTTAAAAGTGGGTTTGAAACAAGGCCAAATTGTATGAAAACCACGGTGTCTGGAGAAATGCCGGCTTCGACAATGATTCTCGAGTGTTAGGGGGTCAAATTCGCGACCAGGACGTCGTGGGCAGGTGCGAAATTGTTGGTGATACTGGCAACCTCCCTGATTGTGGACTATTTTCGAACAACTTGGCGATTTCTGATTCCTGCAATCTAGTACTAATTCTAAACATAGCATATTTTTAACGCACTACCCGTGTAATTTGGAAAACCTGCATCACGTCGACAAATCCCCCACGATTGAATTTCATAGCTCATCGTATTTAATGACCATCCATGCTGATAAAACCGCATAGCTGGTGCCAACGATGCCTTTCGCATCAGGTTGCCCTTGAAAATTACACTTGATTCCCTTTGCACGATTTCGCACAATGTGGGGTTTTCAAATCTCCTCTTTCTCTCTAAACAACGCCATTCGATGACCCATTTTAGCTTAAAAGCCACAATTTTTGTGTTTTATATTTTTGATTTCTTTATTTAGCCGTGATAGATTTTAAGCGTTGTTTGAATTATTTGAAATCCTACCGATCTTGTGACGAATTTTACGCCTAAATATGCTAACCTGCTCACGTTAATTAGTTGAAGTGCCTTAAATTCCGTGTTTGTAAACCCCAAGGAAAAAAGTTGTGTTGCCTTTTTTCCAATTCTGTCAAACAGCTTGTCTGGTATAACGTGAAAACAAAGCGGATTTTTAAATTGTAACTGGCGAGATTTCGTGTAGTATGAGTTCAGTTTCCCCCTAGTTACGCTCTATCTTTATTATGAACGTTGAGTCGATTATCAGCACAACCACCACTGAATCCACATCTGATACCTCAAGACAAACCGCTTGTTCATAAATCGATAGGCAATCGATAGGTCTTGCGGATGTCCAAAGCTTTGCTCAAGCTGAATCTCACTTTGAAGGATGGTGTGTTCGCCGTCTCTCCAAGGTAAAACGTTTCGCTTCTACTGATGGTCACTTGTTCGTAGTTGGGGGCTGGGTTTGTTTGTGGGGGTCTGTAGGTCGTAGAGGTGGTCAACCTGGCGCCTCTTCCTTATAATGCCACCTCTGCTTCGACAGCTTTCAGCGCTGCAGGAGGGCGCAGTGCAGTCGCAACATGGGCGCATGCGACAACGGCTGAAGCGTGTCCGCGTCCTGCTGGACCACCTGCCAGAGGGTGCCAGTGACGTCAAACGACGCTGCCTCGAGCGGCTGGATCCACGCGCCAGGGCGATGGTCGAGTCGTTCGATGTGTCGCGCGAGTCGCAGTCGAGTGACGCCGACTTCGAGCCCCTGCCCGACCTCCTGCGCCTCCTGAGTGACCTCGAAGACGATGTTATCGCCAGTGAACTGACCTTTAAGGTGGGTGGGTGGTCGTTAGCAGGTGGCTGCATATCCACCGCCACCTCCCGTGAAACAGACGTGTTTTTTTTATTCCGCAGTTGACTGAGAATGGGATCGTCCACGATGGCGTCAACAACAACGCACAAAGCGGCATCCTCACCGTCGATGTCAGGAGGTACGTCAAAGTGTGCGTTGGCCTTGACGCACTTCACAGTCTGACACCGATTTCGAAGCAGCGGCACGATGGCTACGTTTTTGCGCGTATTTTGATCGGTTTATGAGTGTAGCTCCTTTACATGGTTGATTAGTTATATTTTCCCTGTGAAATGAATGCCACAACCAGTAAATCCTTGATTCTATTAGGTGTGTGGTTTAACTTCTGCAGACTAATTTCCTCGAGCTTAAAGCTGTACTTAAAATGGACACGTTTTTCCGGTCTTTTGTTGGGTTGAAAGGATCAGACGCAACGTTTCAGACCACCGAACGGCAAGTCTACGTGCGATACATTACCTCCTTGAGTGTACGACGATGGCACCGCTTTTAATGCGAATTCCAACAAGAAAAATTGACTTCTAAACCACGGGACAATTCAATTTGTGGTGTTTTTGGTGTTGCCGGCGTCGTGTCTTATGAAATGTGCAACTATTGGTACAGACGTTTCTTTAGAAGAGGTGATTTCGACCTTATTTACCAGCCTCGAAGCTTTGACGATGCGGAATCGTAAGCGCCACTGGACAAGAAGACTCGATGCAGTTGCAAGAAGAGATTGCAGCAGCCCACCTAGGAATCATCCAAACAGCGATTTCTAGGAGATTGCACCATCAAGTGGGAACAATTTAAAAACTTGGAAGTTGGCTGGGTGGCCCCACATATGTTGACTGCACCCAGCCCAGATCGACGCACGAACACTGCTTGCCCGCCGGCAAAACGAGCATTGAATGGACTTCCCTCGGAACATGGTGACGAGTGATCAGAAGTCTATAATTCGCGAGAATCGCAAACGTAAAAGCGATGTCGTGGGTAGATCCCGGACAACTCAATACATAGACGCCGGAACAGGACATCCACTTAACAACGAAGGTTCGCCTGTGTATCTGGCGGGGCGACATGAAGGGTCTACTCTATTACGAACTCTTGCAAACTGGTCGTCAGACGGTGACTGCGAAAGGCTGGAGTCGATAGTTAAATAAACTGGGCAAGGAACTAGTTCAGAAAAAGCCATTTACTGGGCAAGGAAGCAGGCGAGTCGCTCCACTGCTGCTGCATGATAACGCCTGACCACCTGAGGTTGCTCGCGCGACTCAGAAAGACGACCCTCTTGAACTTGGGATGGAGAGTTCTCTCCCACACGCGCGGCATATTCACCAGACTTGGCAACCATTTATTCCTGTCTGTGTAGCAAATTCGTCGACGATGACTTGATTGCCTTGAAGCCTGCGACGGCATTCGTCCGCTACCTGAGAGATGGCGCAAGGCCATGGGAAACGGTAGACAATATTTCCAGGATTAAGTCGGTTGTTCTCCTAGTTTTTACATAAATTTACTGAAAAATATGCAGCAAAAGAGAGTCATATTTGTGCTGCCAAGTGTTTGAATACACGCGAGTGGGAGGTGTCCACAGTTCCACTGACACGGTTCACCCCCTGTCCTCCGCTAGCATTCCAACAAGTCGCCTGCCCACCTGGGCGCAGGCTGGCTGCGAGAGCCTTCGTCAGCACACCAAACGTGTGCTTCTGATCAGCTCCACGAAAGCCTACGCCTCCTCACCGACGGCGGCGGCGGCGATGCGCAGCTGGCGTCTCAACATCGCCTTCAGCGGCCTCCCGGGTGAGCGCTGCACCAACGGCGGCAACCTGCTCTACCAATCCGAGGAGGTCCACGTCAACAGCACCGCGGAGTTGGCGGCGTTTGTGGCGCTTGTGGTGCGCGAGTGGGAGAGCCTGTGTCGCATGTTCGCCATCTGCGAACCCGTCCTCAGGAACCCCGGTAAGGCCTTGTCCCGCTTTTCTTTTGGTGAATGTCGAGGTAGCAGCCATTTTGCCGACAACATGGTTCATCCTTGTTCCTCCTTCCAGCCTGTTTGCCACGCGATGTGAGCTTGAAGGCGTTCGATGCAAAGAGCCTGGTGCTGGCGTACGGACCGGGCAAGCACTATCTTGTAAGTTGTGACCCCGAAAAGTGGTCATGAATCGACTGGTGTTAATGCGTATTACTCTACACCAGGCAGAACTGTCGATCGACTCGCGGCACCAGTGCGTCCTGCGTCTCGGTGTTCACCCGGGTCCTTCCACCGTGAAACGCCAACAGGACGACTCACCGGAGGAGTTATTGAAGAGGGACCTTTTCGAGAATCCCCACTGCATTATTCGAGAGCACCTAGAGTACCTTCTGAACGGCCACAAGTCGGTGTCCCGTCTCTGCAACGTGAGCCTCTTTCTTGTCGGCGGTCTTGAAGCATCAGAGTAAAAGTCGATACTTGTTTTCTCCCCCCTAGACGCTATCTTCCACTCTGCCGTTCGTCGTGGCGATGGAAGTCGTTAGGAAGCCCACTGTCATGACCAATCCCAACAAGGTACTTCAAGCGCTGTTCGATTTTAAGATGCTTCCTTCATGTCAGAGTGTGAAAGTTCAAATTTCTGTTTTTTTAAACACACCTCCACAGTCGTCGTCCGTCGCGGCTTCAGCGCGTCCACTGAGAAGCATGGCGTTGATAGCGCTGTCGTGCTTCGACCTGGCGCTCGTCTACCGCGGCACGCTGTGCATGCGCTTCAGGCTGGAGCAGAAGGTGACGCCAGGTGGGGCCACAGCCGACGTTGTTCACATCTCCGACGGGTGCCAGAACCACGGACAGCCCGTGCGACCCGGTGGCATCTCCAGCGAGATCTACCCCGTCCAGGGGTTCGTCCAACTACCTGCCTTTCAGGTTAGCCTTTGCAGCCTTTTGTCTGCTCACCTGCACGCACGATCCACCCTCTACCCGCCCTCCTCCCTTCTTTATTTTAGCAATTTCTCGCTTCAATCCAGAGAACTCTCAGAGCAGAAAGTGAAGGTTAGTGCGAGATTTTTGTTATTTTACAGCCGAGCACCAACCAACTTCCCCCTCCACCTAACGTGTGCCTTGTTGTTGTTGTTGAAATTGTCATGAAGGCGAGGACTCCCTGGGCTGCGTGAGCGTGCCGCAGCTGGCGCAACTCCTCACCCCCGGTCGTGGAAGCCCTTCGCCGCTCGAGTGCTACCTCTCCGCCAGTCTGATCTTCCACGCCAGCTTCCAGGCGGTGAACACCCTCCGGTGGCAGGTACCTTCCGCGCCCGTCGCCCAGGCAGGCGAATTCGCCTCCAAGGTGCCCGATTCGGGCCTCGAGGTGCGTCTGAAGCTGCACGCCGAGGAGCCATCCAAGCCTGAGGGCTTCTTGCCTCGTTGGCGTCTCGGTCTGATGGTCACTCCCGATCCTCTCACATGCCCTGCCGAAAGGAGCGCTGAGCTGTCCGGTCGCATCGGGGAGTTCTTCCAGCGGAGGGTGAGTTGTGTGTGTGTGTGTGTCGACTGGATCGATCCTTGTGGTCCTGTGTGGTCACTGCGTCTCTCCACGCCAGGTCTGCAACTTGTCGCCTCAAGCAGCGGCCATCACGTCGTTCTTCCGGCTGCTCTCTCTACCCGCCGCGACTCTCCACGACCTCGTGTCCAACGTCTTCGCGTGGGACCTCGAGGGAGGCAGTTCGGCGCCGAATTCGCCCTTCATTCGCGTCTGTCTGGTGTCCGTCAGCTCGCCACACTTCCCCGAGCCCGCTGTCGTCCTCCGCGCACCCACCACTCTCTCCATGCAGCTCATCGTCTCGAGTCGACCACCACAGCACCACCACGACCAGTCCTCCGTGGTGAGTTTGTTCAACGGCCACAGTCGCGCTTTGCTTATCCATCCGTCCATCCACCCATCCATCGGACGTCCACAGAGGCATTCCGAAGTGATGAGTAAATGTAACACGCTTCAAAAGTGAATAGTTAGGCGAACAACCATCACCGCTCCCTAACCTGTCACACCCGGCCGCTTTCTTATAGGGCTCACGCTCACCGAGCACTGAGATGATCTGGCTGACGTACGATTGGTCGAAGAATCACGTGGCGTTTGTGCCCGGCTCGGCGTCGAAGCGTCTGCAGAACTACGACGACTTCATTAACCAGCGCTTCATGGCGACCCGAGCCTGCACGCTTGTGCAGTTGATCTCGCACATTCGTCAGATGCCGCCGCTCAGCTCAGACGTGGCGCCAGTGGCGTCGGTTGTGATGCGCGTGCCCGCCGGGCCCGGGACCACTCTACCTCAGCACTCCATGCAGTGACGTCGGGTCACCTGCTCTCCCTCCTCTCCTCTCGCTTTTCTACTGTACAAAATAAACACACTACTATCACTTGCTTAAGTAAGATTAATATTTCAGCGTCACGACTCCGCGGAAGTCGTGGGTGGAAGTAACTGTCAATACATGAGAAGTGCGTGTAACGTCGAACCACCTTCTCACTTTTGTGCTGTGCCAAAAAATAAACAAACTGCTTGTCCCTGAGATGTTGCAAATTGCTGGTTGTGAGATTAACTACTAACAACTATTTGAGTAGCATTATTATTTCCAGTGTGCACAAGTGGGTGGCAGCGATTCCGAGGAAGTCGTGGGTGGTGGAAGTGACTGTCAAAACATGAAGAACATGAGTCTCGCATGGCCTCAACTTAAACCATTTTTGATAAAACACGCCGTTTGGGGCGTGGGAGGTCCACAATGACACATTTCTCATACTTCACATAGCTCAACACCACTTCGTAACCAGTCAAAATTAGCTACTTCTAGAACATGAGAGGGTTCCTAGAATTGAAATAGAACTTGTTTGATTGGTGCGCGAACCTTTCCAGTTCAGTATGATTCCACCCAACAGACGGGATATTGCGCAGATAAGATTTGCCGTTTTTTCGGTGTTAGCCGTTTGTAGCGGAACCGGCCTCCATTTATCACATTCCCTTTTATCCACTTAAATAAAAAAATCAATTGAGGAATTCTTAGTGGCAACCAAAGCACGGATTTCCTTGCTATAAATAAACTGGCGGAAGCGAGCGGCTGTCTTCGTTGCCAACGCAAAACCCAACCCATGTCACGCCATTCTAGTGGTGTTGATCGCTAATTTTATCGCATAACTCAAGGCGATGGCGTAAATTCGAATTTTCTAAAATCAGGAGGCTTGTCAGACCACGATTTTAGCTTTTTTTGTGACAGGACGTCGCCGTGTTCAGCCCAAGAGGAACGATGCTCAGTCGTTAGGCGGTTTCTAGAAATGGCTGCAGCCATATTGGAAGCTGTCAATTCAAAAGACCGCGCGTGTTTAAACTAACCAATCTCTGCGCCCGTTTACCCTTATCTACAAACGGCTCACATGGATAAGCAGATGAGCGGGGAAAAAAACTAAACTGAAGCTTAGACAAATGATAGTACCATCGTACGTAACCCTTACACGCTCACACCGGTCCCCACTAACTGAATACACGAAATCTCGGTGGCAACATGTACATTGATCAGTACCAATAGCATAAAAAAATAGTAAAAGTGAAGTCAGGCGACAGACGGGGGGTGGGGGGTTTGTATCACAGTCGGATTTGGAACGTGCATCGATTTCCTCATCCCATGGCGAAGGTGGTGGCGGAGTTGCCGCAGAGGAAATCAGCCCATCTCCGCCGTATCATGTCCTGAACCTGGACGTCGCCATGATCATCGTCGCCACCACCACCACCACCGCCGCCAGCAGTGTTGTCGCCTTTGTGAAGCCGAGCCTCGTCCAGAGTCTTGCGGAAACGCTCCACCTGGCCGAGGAAGTGGAAGCTGGGACCCACCACGGAGCGCAAGTGATTGGCCAGCGTGTAGGCCTCGACCACGGTAAGGTTGGAGTGGGTCACGAGGTAGGCGATGACCAGAGTGGCCGAACGCGACACCCCGGCCATGCAGTGGACAAGCACCTTACCGCCTGAGTTGCGGGCAGAGTCTAAAACATTCAGCGTACAATCCTTTTCGTACAAGATTCCGAATTGTTTAAATGACCACGACACTTTTCAAGTTGCCGCGTAAATTGATTTAATTTAAACACCTCAAACAGTGCTATTTCTGTCTGGTGGGAATGGGTTAAAATTAAATTATACCGTCAGCTAAAATAAATCGCGGAATCACGCATGCAAACTGTGATTAGTTTGTTGTCACCATCGCCATCGTTACAACCTCGTTCGAATTTAAACAAAGCCTGGATTGGCCACTTACCGATAAAATCGATAGCTGGTTTAAAATGAGGTCGCAGATCGGCCAGTGTCGTGTCGTGGACAGCCACTCGCAAGTACTTGATTTTGCCGTCCTTCTCAAAGACGTTAGGGTGTTCACAAGTGGCGTTGATCACGTGGGTGATACCCTGTTCCTCCATGAACTTGGCGTTCATCGAATCGCGAGCGTTTCCTGTGTTAAAAAAGTCAGCTTTTTAGTGCTGCCACAAAACCATCATCACAGGGTTCTACGACACACACTAAAATAGACTTGAATATTATGATTGCCTGGCCGTTTATGGTGCGCAAGGCTACGTAAGTCGTCAACAGCACGTACCGAGGTAGAGAAAGTCGAGTATCTGCGACACCCTCGCTGTGTAGGCACAATCGGAGTCCGTGGGACCTGCTCTGACACACACACGTTTGGGATCCTGGGCCCTTACGATTGGATTGAGTTTCCGCGGTTTTTTGTGTCTTCGTTCGGGCAAACTCTGTGTCCCCGGGACCTCGCTCGGCCCCCCAGCAGCTGTCTGCATCGACTTCGTGACCTTAGGAAAGCACTGTTTGGTGCTGGTCATGCGTCTGGGCGCTTCGATTCCACCTATGAATTGGAATGAATCCCTTGAATGTACGAGGCCGCCAAAACTGATTTATTAGAAAAAATCGAGCAAATTTGAGTCCCAAATTATGTCCGTGTCATGACTCAGTCTTCTTTATTTGGAACACGGTAACTAGTTACAGTCGTGTAGTTCATAAGTGATGTCCCACGTTAGTGCAGAACTTTAATCTTACGTTCAAATATTTGTAAAAACTTAGATACCTGATAGTAACTTGATGCCCTCCAAGCCGATTAAGCGCTCTCCAAATGCTCCACACTCGCATCTGTCCTTACTGCCGTAGAAAAAGTTTAACTTTTTCACTAAATCAGGCAGAAGGATTGTGCACGACTCGAGATCTTGCAGAGATATCCACTTTGGGGCAGTAATGTGCCGCCTTCTGGGCTCTGCCTTACCGAAATTGTCTGGCATCTCGAGACTACAACGTTTCTCATCACGACTGGATCTCAGCTCCTTCGTTTCTCTGAGATTACTCAAAAGCGAAGGAAAACTCCTTGAATTCTGAATGTGTGAGATTGACTTCTTAACGAGATTTTTAGACGTGGACATGAAACTGTGACGCTTTTCCATACAAAATTCAACTTCTAGCGCCGTAACTGCCATAATGCCTCATGCTTTTCATTCACGGTTAAATATTTTGCATGCTAGTACATGATTGGTTTTTACGTAGCCAATCATAAGCACCCATTTCGCTTTAGTAGTGTGGTACAATCTCATTGGTTAATGAGTTTAACCATTGGTGGAATGTTGCCGCGTCGGCAGGTTGCTATTTCTGATTTTAATTTTACGATAAATCACTTACAAAACCCTTTTCAGAGTGTATTTTTACTGTAGGAATTCCCTCATCTCTGCTTTTATGCTTCTTTTCGAATCCATTGACTTGTATTTGATTGAAAAAAAGAGTTTGACGTGTCTTGGTGCTGGTACTGTTCCCCTTTTCCTTGACAATACGGTGTTTTATGAAGTAGCTCATTGAATTGCTTTGTTATTTATAAACAACATTTTTATAAGGTACATCTAATGGAAATTTAGGGCAAAAATCATCCGATGATTGGCTGGTTCTACGGCAACCGTACATAGGAGCTGGAATGTGTTAACGGAACTAATTTTGCGCTTTGAGTTAAGGCACGTGGTACTTTAAGTGCATCATTGAGCCAATCGTATAGCTTGAACTCTTGGCACCTATCTACAGCTTTAGAACGACTGGGTGAGGCATTTGAAAGCATACATCTAGAGATCTTGAACATTTCGAAATCGTAAAGATTACACGGGGGAAAGGCAGTGGACAGATTTGTGAAAATTTCTGATTAACAGAAACGATGATGATGATGATGTATCGTTCTTTTACCAGTTTCAAGTTTATGCTCTTAATTGGGAAATTAAGTCCATGTGAACACTCGTAGAAATTTGACGTGAGACGACTGTTTTACTTCATCTTCTTTCTACAACAAGTAACTTTAGCACACTGTAAGTCAAGGTCACCATTAAAATTAGTTCCACGACTTTCTGTTGGGTGTAAGAGTGAGTTGCGATCCAAGTACCACTTTCAAAAACTGGTTCACACGCTTTAACTAAAGTGCACGTGCTTGCTGAAGGTTACGGTGTGGATCATCCCGGCGCCATGTAGTCTGGGAAAGACGAGAATCAACTGTTTGTTGGGTCGTGGAATATACCTTCGGCCACGAATTTCCACGGTTCACAAAGGCCAATCAGTGGGTGAGAATCCAGAATCTGGATCAAGTCGCTCTGGTGACTAGCCGTTCGTGAACCGTAGTGACGACTTCATTCCTTAGTGATGGATGCGTGATCCAAATCAAAGCCTTCAAAACCGAGCGTGCGACGATTGGTCAACAGACAAAGAGGGACCGGTTTGGGTTCGTGCCAACGCATCTGCTGAAATTGCCCGTGTTCTTTCGCATCCTCCTTCATCTGCGACATTTCACGTGACTCCCGGTGAGTGGGGGTTTTTTACCCGAAAATATACTCTGTACGTATCACGTGCAATCGCCAGATGACTGCTTGAGTTATCGTACATCAACGCACATGTTAACCTCACTTTACAAAGCACTTTCGCGTGCATGACAAATTGCCGTCATTGTAGTTTCTTCCTTGAGAATAAATTGCCAAGAGTTTGGTAGGTTTGTGCATCCGTCAGAAGCCGCTAATATAAACGACATTGACATTCTTGTTAAGAATTCTCGAAAACTGCCAAATTACACGGCCAAGAGCCCACAGATTTTTGGCATTTACATGGACAACGAAAGGGTTAGTAGCAGAGCAGCATGACACAAACACATGAAAATGCCCACAACACGATTTTACTTACCTGAAACGATGCTTACATTTAAATAACCGCAAATCCGTAGTTGATCAGATAGGCTGTGTTATGTTCAAAGTCGCTCAAACCACCGACGGTCGATGACACGAAGCAAGCATGGCGAATGCCTTTTTCTGAAATTGCGGTGACCGGTTGCAAACAATGAAGGAAACAATGAAGGAAATGTTGATCCAGTTGCTGGAAGTTGTGCCATTTCGGTTGCTGAAACATCGGCTAAAGAAGAAGCCAGACTTAGTTGGTTTGCACGCCATAGTGTCAATGCAGGGAGGCAGTTGATTGGCTGAGCGTGTGTTTTAGTGCGTGCGGGTGAGCCACATCACGCCACAAGCGAGCCAAGTTCACTGTGAGATTTGCTTGCTTGGATTCACACAACCTCGAAATCCACTGACTTCAATTTCGCCTGACACAGGGCCACACTTTGCCTTAACGGTGTTGAACCACGAAGTAACAGAACACGTGAAACGAAACTGAATGTGCCGAATTACTTGGCAGAAATTAGAGTTAACATTTATCTATAACACTTACTAATTTAGCGAGTGCTAAATGAGTTAAAGGCGCGAAAATTGAAATGCGGAAAGTGGTAGGCTGAAATGCCTTTTTAACTTTAACCAGAATGATCATACTCGTCATCAATTGGCGGAACATGGCAACCAAGATCCACAAGCACATTAAAGTCGGTTAACTCAATGCGGGTTTCCAAATGCGTCCTACAGATAAGACCAGGCATTGAACTCCCGTTCGTTTCCTTTTCACGTGTTTAAAGGAGTGTTCGAAAAGTGTGAATTTTGAACAAGTGGGTCAAGTTGGGCTTCAAATTGGGAACGAAAATAAAATTGTGTTTTAAACAAACCCAGAGGGCAATTGCTACGTGGGGCTTTTCTTGATTCCTGTTGCTGTTAAAAATAAGAAGTCGTGTAAGTTACTGAGTGCTGAAGAACTTAAATCAGTTATCCCAGGGTCCCGATTTCGTCATTTATTAAACCTCAAATCGTCATCATGTGGGTAAGGGGGGTCATAAATTGAGCTAATTATAACAAACGTAAATTATTGGTTCCTATTGCTTCCAGTAAACACCACAACAGGCGGACCGATGTGGCTGGGAAACCCACTCACTCGAGGAGCCTAAATTTCACATATTTTGTTAAAAAAAAACGGTGTACACCACACCCATTTATGAGAACAGTAATTTGAAAATAGTCTCCTCTCCTCCTCGACACCGTCAAAAGATACGCAGTTATTCGTAGTCGTAAAACTATGTGGCAGAAAGTCGTTGGTTTAAGGTACACACGTTGACGTCTTAATGAATCTGTGTCCGAAATACCCCTGTCTTCTAATAATCATATATTTGGCGTCCGATTCGTGGGTCTAGAATTGAGATGGTGAGAAATAAGACTGGTGCCGTATTTGTTAACGCCTGTCCTGGGGCGTGGACACACAACCGCGACGAGCCATCGGATAAACAGTCGTGTTTTCGTCGCCTAGATCTCCAACGAGGGTGATCGCAACAGGAATCAGAAGTACATTCGCATGAACTGATATCTGGCCAATCAAATGATGAGTACAGATTGTTTGGATAACGATTCAAAAACCAGAGCAGGTAAGGCTTGAAACCAGTCTGATACCGAGCCTAGACTTGGGTTCAAAGTTTCGTTAGAAACAAGATAGAGGTCGATTCGTAAGAGGGCAAAGTACATTCAAAACGAGATCACCATTGATTCATTTAAGTGTGTGTGTGTGACTTGACGTTAGGCCACTTCATTCGTGTGAGCAGTGAAGCAGTCATGTGAACTTCACCCAGAATTCGGTATTGGTGAACGTCGATTTGATTTCTGATAGACCAGGTCATTCGAGGAGTTGCGGCAACACAGTAAACCAAAATATTCCCCAAAACAGACAGTGGCTTTAACTGGTCACTGATTGGTGAATTCCGGTCACAGCCACCAACCGGTTAGATACACGCACCCCTGACCCACAAATTAAACGAGTGTTTCCAGGATTGAAGCAGGATTGTTAAATTACTATCAAATACCAAACACTTAAACCAATCGGAGGTTAAATTAATGCTTTTATTCTGTTGCTAGAGGTAGGTATATTAGAATGAAAAATCTCGCCCATTTGGAACAAACGATGCCACGACCTTAACGTTGGGATAAAGGGTTCATTTAATAAAAACCATGGGGGTAACAAAGGCGGGGGGGAGGGAAGGGTTTACAAAAGGGGGAGATGTGTACAACCAGGCTGATCTCAGTTTGAGGTGGAGGTGGTGGGCGGGGTCGGAGTGAAAGGGGCTTGAGGCGAGGGGGCTGCAGGGGGGTCCTCGGGGTTGGCTGAGGGAGCGCGCTTCTGTCCACGGCCTCCGCCTCGCGAACGGCTGGAGCTGCCGCGGCCCCCCGCGCCACCACCGGACGACGACGCGGCCGTGCGCTGGTCGAGTTCTTTGAGCATCTGCTTCGCTGAACGCCAGGCCTGGAGGATCTGGTGGAGGTTCTGCTGAAGCACCTATGAGGCAACAAAACATGTCGAATATGACCTCAAAGTGGCAGACACTTTCGGGGAGGAGCAAAGTGGTCTTTCGCCAAACAAAGGGGTAAACACGGCAAGCCGTGGATTAACCAGTGAGGAGCGGCGATCACGCAACAGCCGCAGTTGAGGATATTTCGGTGAAGACTCGGCTTGAACGCTGCCTAAAAAAGCGCCCTCTGTCACACAACTCCACAACCTTCATCAATGTGCTCTCACAAGGGAAAAACCGAAAAACCAATCCCATTGCCTGGTTTTAAACTGTAAGCTATTTTTTGCACCGTAAGTATTTTTTAGTTTACGGCGAATTTGTTTTTGATGAGGAATTTGTAAACAGTAAACAAGTCACGGTTGACATTACAATTTCAGGCAGTCGGCACCACTGCATCTTCCAAATCCAGGTGGGGGTGGGGCGGGGTGGGGTGGGGGTTGGACGCGTGCAACTGTCAGTAGTGTGAGATGTTCATTTAAAATGTTCGAAAAGGCCTATTTACCCTTCATAGCTAGACATGGAAACCACTGATTTCGTGGCAGTCTTGACTGTCTGCCTGCATCTGCAGAGACGCTGGCACCGGAGTTAAGTGGAGAGAGATGGAGCGTTAAGTAGGCACGCTGAGTGTTACCTTTCAACGTTATTAAAGGACCCGATAAAATGAAGGTGCTAATGATGATCTATGCCTTCTGAAGCACACTCTGCACTAATTAACACCTTTGCGGCAAGGAATGGCAATAAATCTCCAGTCGAGTGGTTTGCCTCATCTCTTCAACGCGGAACAATGTCCGATTTGCCGTCGTGAGGAGGAACCACGGGAGGAGCAAGACCTACCATGCATTTGACATTTGAGGGCATGGAATCGATGTCCGCGATGGGGTAATAGGGTCCGCCAAAGCGACGGACCGTCGCGGTGGTAGTGGTGGTGGCGGCTGCCGCGGTAACAGACGGGGCCGCGTGCACTGGCGACGTCTGGTGTCCGTCTGCGGGGGTTACAGCTGGAGTGTCTCCACTTAGCAGAGTTGGAGAGCTGAGGGCTGGCGATGAAGCGCCGGTAACACCACGACGTCCACGACGACTCTATTTGTGGCAGCAAAGGCAACAACGTCAGCTACACAATCGATTTGAAAGATGAACAACTTAAACCACTAGGACCCATGTGAGTTACATCCAACACACGCCAAAAACGCTTCCCATAGTGAAATTGGCAGAACACCAGTAATGTAAACGAGCCACGCCAAGAGTTAAATACTGCCTAGGGACCTCTCAGGTTTTGTTTACCAAGCAGCGAGAGAGAGAGCAGGCGCAAAACAAAGTAGTTGGCAGAGAATCTGGCATCTGCCCGGGCTGTGGGTTAGTCACAGGCTTCTTATTGTGCAAATTTAGTAACAATGGCTAAACCAACGGGTGTGCACACGGCAAGCCCGTTTCGCCGCCTCGTGGCTGCTTTCACGCAAAACAGAGGGACTTGCAACATAACACGAACGCCAGGCACCAAAATTAACGGCTTGGTGGGCTCATAGATATTCACCACAGCGAAAAAAAGTGGACTGTACTCTAGGGGGTCAGAGATCCCGGATGGACAAGTTGGCACGCCAATCGATACTCCCAGACTCGAGGGAGATCTGCCGTTGATGCCAGAGGATTATTCAAGCTTCCAAGGTCAGGTGAATTGTAATCTTGGTTAGAGTCCACACTACACAAGTGAATCAGCCATTTTAGCGCGTATAAGTACATGAGACCGTGGATTTCCTGTGCACAAGGTTTAAAAATAGTCGCGATTCGGACAAGTCTCGAGTTTTCAGTGGTTTGTAAAAGCTGTCTCGTGAAACGAAGCCTTCCTGACCGGCGTGTGCACGAGGCGCACGGACTGGCGCGTGAATAGCCTCCAAGAGTACACTTAGGGCGGTGCTTTAGTCATTCCACTGTGGGATGGATGTCCTTCGTCATCTACCCCAAATGTGCCTAATTTTAGTAACCGCAGTCCACTTGCCGGTCGTTACACGTCTCGTGCCAAGCAGTCGCGCGCGCGCGCGCAAAAAACGGCCGATTATTTCCTAACGAGAGACTAAAATTGCTGAGAAAAGTGGTCACTAGGGCAGTGACGGGGTCGGGAATTGCCACGAACACAAAAAACCGAGTGTTACAAGCTCAAGGGAATACTAGGAAGCCGGTGGAACGATGTTTACTAGACTTATGACACAAAATCTACGTTGGAAGGCGAGGCAGAACAAATTCCAGCACGACTGAACACACACACACACACACACGCACATGGGCTAGTGCCACGAGAGCAAAGGTTGGTCGGTCGGCCTGGGTTTAACCATTAATTATAATTCCCAATTTAGTAACTCAAATCGCTCGTTAAAATTCTTGCCAAATTTGTCTAGTGCGAGTTTAGTGCCAGGCCCGATTTAGCTCAGACTAAAAATAGCGGTCACACGAACGTGAAGTGAGATTAAGTTATTTTGGAGCTCGGTTGCCGAAAGACGCACTTTGACAACCCGACAATCGATGCACCACGGGACCATACGAAAACGGGCATTAGTGATACCGAGTGTGGGTAGGGGATGCGGAGTGGGCGTCACCGCAAATGGTGGATGGTTTTGGGAAAAAGAATTTGCAAGAAATACGGAGAGACAGAGAGGAAATGAATTTGTAATTTCATTAGCCCTAATTTCGCTGTGTTTATACGGAACTAAGTGGTGCCCGAGAGAGAGAGAGAGAGATGGAGGGGCCTTCTAAACAAAGGAGCCGATTTAACAAGCCAACATACACATCACCGGCGCCAGATAGGTTGATGGAAAAAAAAGGATCCGTTTAGGCCCATGTACACAGGAGTCGAAAGGGCTAGAGTGAGTGCGGCGATTTATACACATGGAATTAACTCACCATAATTGATAGCAGTGCCGAAGAAACAAGGATGCTAGGCTCAACCCTCCCGTTGAACAACTCGATGAAAGCGGATTGTGGCTAGTACGAACGCAAATTCGTTTATATAGCTTCCCGATAAGGTGAACGATTTATACACATGGAATTAACTCACCATAATTGATAGCAGTGCCGAAGAAACAAGGATGCTAGGCTCAACCCTCCCGTTGAACAACTCGATGAAAGCGGACTGTGGCTAGCACGAACGCAAATTCGTTTATATAGCTTCCCGATAAGGTGAAGATTACGTGAGTCGGTGAGCAGTAATCGGAGAAGTTTGATTGGTAAGTAAAGGTGCTATCCGATAATTGCCTCCCCCCCCTCCCAGTCACCGACAGCCGGCTACGCAGAAACTCACAACTGCCAGGTGTAAGACTAAATGTGTACAGATTTTTTTTTTCGAGCACACAAATATTTAGAGTAGAAATACTTCTCCGGTCTTTTATGATTTTAAATACGAACGATAAGTCAACGAGAGCTGCGTAGCCTCTCCGAATAGCAGACTTTACAACGATGACGACTAATAAACAGTAAATTCGGTGGCACGGCAGTTTATACGAATCCCAACAAGGAAAAAGTGCTTCTAAAGCGCGGGGAGAATCAGTTTGTAGTGTTCTTGGTGGCGACTTTGTACCCTACGAAACGCGTTTTTACTGACCAGGAGCGCCACGAAAAAATTGGAAGACGTGGAAGAATTGTGGAGTCACTCAAACACATATTTTAAACTCTTTGTACTACCAAACGGCGAAAATTCAAAATTCAACGACCTTCACTGCTTGCCCGCCGGTAACAAAAAGGACCTCTCTTGTGGAAAATTGTGACAGGTGATGATGAATATACAATTCACGAGAATCGCTGACGCACAACTCAATACATAGACACCGGAACAGGACATCCACTTAACGACGAAGGTTCGCCTGTGTATCTGGTGGGGCGACATGAAGGTGACTGCGGAAGGCTGCAGTCGATAGTTGAATAAACTGGGCAAGGAACTTGTTCAGAAAAAGCCGTTTCCTGGGTAAGGAAGCAGGCGAGTCGCACTACTGCAACGGCATGACAACGCCTGACCACCTGAGGTTGCTCGCGCGACTCAGAAAGACGACCCTCTTGAACTTGGGATGGGGAGTTATCTCCCACACGCGCGGCATATTCACCAGACTTGGCAACCATTTGCTCCTGTCTGTGTAGCAAATTCGTAGACGATGACTTGATTGCCTTGAAGCCTGCGACGCCATTTGTGCGCTACCTGGGAGATGGCGCAAGGTCATGGAAAACGATGGACAATATTTCCAGGATTAAGTCGGTTGTTCTCCTTGCTTTTATCTAATGAGTAAATTTGCACTGCCTCAGTATTCCGTGGAAAGTAGCAACCACCGTGATGCTGGTGATTGTAAGGACTCACCGACAATGAACACGCCCGGTCACATAACCAGCTGCCACGTCTGACGTAGACTGGTATTTTGAGCAACTGCTAAAATTAGTAAGTTTGAATGATTACGCCCTGGGCAACAAAACAAGCGGCGTCCCCTCCTGCTGCTACTGCTGCTGCTACTCTTGCTTTCTAGAAATCGACCGCCGCCTTGCACGCCAACGTTACCATGGAAACACTTTTCGTACCTCGTGACGACTTGTGCAACCCCATGGGGACAGGCGATCCCAAGTGTACGCCAGACGACCTGCTGACGCGTGGTGGAATCAATCTCGGCTCAATGGGGGCAGGCTACTCGCATCTGTACTTCGCTTCGGTTGTGGATACCGTAAGGCCGACAAAATAGCCGAAAAATACGACGACCCGTAGTTATACTTCGAGCAGTTGGAAGCGGTCCAGTTACAAGCGCGAAGCGAACACGCCCTGCTGTGGCACGTCTGCAACATCCAGCGACTGCACCGATGCGTTAAACCGATCCACAATCTTCACAAAGCACTAACAGGGTAGGACGGAAAAAACTGTGGCAGGTGGCATTAAAGTGGGTGCCTAATTTGTCTTGTCGGTTGTTTACAAGGCGCACGGTGGAATCTAGTGTGACACACGACGCTAGCGAATTCCGTCTAGACCACACAATCTGGCGGAAAGGCGTGTACGAGGAACTCGGTAGTTTACAAAATCGACTGCACAATTTGTCTTCCAAGGCATACGGCAACACCCTAATTCCTCGGACTTCTCTCGATGTCTCTAGAGAAAAATCTACTTGTCCCAGACCAACTTGGATTAGATCCGGTCAAATGAGGACAATTTAAACTGGTGAAACGTGGATGAGAGCCGGATCGTGGAGAGAGCGAAAATGCCGCGGACAGCTGTTTTGTTGCGGCGATCTGAGGGTTGCCAGTGCTGTGTGTGTGTGTGTAACGGTGTCAATATTTCTAGGGACTCCTGATATGCGACTCCAGCAGCAACGCACAATGTTAACCAATGACTGTGGGGGATTACGCCGTTTGGTTCTCGAACTGGCGTGGCCCGAAATGCCGAAGAACAACTCTCCCTCTGGGACTCATGCAAGCGTGACATGGAGGCATCTGGAAGAGCCGTCGAAAGTGCTGGCACCTCCACTTGTTTTCGTTCAACACCAACTAACGACAACCCCCGGAAGTGAGTTAAGATCTCAGCGTGTAACCTTGGAAAAAGACACACGAATTTGATTAAAAGCAAGCAAACAAAAAAAAGCATAAGGTCTGTTGTGGCACGCACGACGAACACGTGTTCAGTGCTAACAAGCTCCGCGAAGAATGCAGAATGAACACAGTTTAGTGGGGAGGAGCGTGTACAAATCTGGGTTGTCATTACACGCAATCATTTTCGCTAACACTGACAACATACACCTCTGTTCACGGCGTGCATTGAAACACACACACACACGAGTATGATTAATAAGGGGTCATTTAAAGCCCCAAAAATCAATAATTTAGGTCAAATCCAGGGAGCTAGGCCAGCCGTACGCAATAAAGTCGCACCAGTTGTGGGGACTTTGGATGTGAATCTCGGACCCACATGGCTACAGCGAAGTCGACCGTCGTCAACATTTGGAGACACTAAACACACACACACACACCCAGCTGCCACGCAGATTCCCACGTTGTGTCGCCAACGTACGCCGGCTGTGACGTTGTACCAAGTTGGGCGTGATGAAAGTACATTTGACGCAAACCAACAAGCCCGACGGCAAACGGCAGAACTCTGAGCCACAACTGTGTGTGTGCGATGGTGCCCTGGAGACAGGGAGGTACACAAGAGGCCCTTTTGAGGACCGGATCGATGCAGAGTTCTGAGGAGCGCAAACGAGCTAATTCTGGCACCCGAGTTTTCACATACACACAAACACCAAGTTGACGCGCACATCGGTTTCAAGAACCAGTGGCGAATACGCCACATTAACGCTGGTGTTAAAACTCGCCGAGTGGAATCCGGGGTATCGATCGGCAGCGGGGAGGTCACACCGGTGACCCCGAAATGCTGAACCAGTAGGGTACAAACGGTTGGCAAGAGTTGCCAGATTAGAAATCACACCAGAGTCTTGCAGACACGGCGTGAGCGACCACCAGCTGACTGTGCCACAAAATCACGCACCCTTTTCCCCAAGAATTTACTTGAACGTGGAGGTGTCGTGTTGAGTGGTTAGTGGTCAAATCAAAATCCACGAAGACACCAAATTTCTTTTCCCGGCGCCATTCAATTGGCCTAGAACCGTTTGAACGTGCTACCCGGCGCGGTATGGCATTGGTAAGGCTAAGCGTCAGGCGAAAAGGTGGAGAATATGAATGACTCGCCTTCCTGCTGCTCCTGAGGCTGGATGACGCCGAAGACACTACCGAATCGGCGTCGTCGTTGACAGCGACGACAGCCGAAGGGAGGCGTTTGCGTCGGCCTCTGGACGCAGCTCCACGGAGCGCCGGTCTGCCGCGGCCGCTGGGAGTTTGCGGTCGCGAGCGCTGCTGGCGGTGCTGCGTCGGCGGTGGAGGCTGAGACGTCGCAGGCTCATCATCAGAACTGCTGCTGCTGCTACTACTACTACTGCTGCTACTGGATCCACCGCCAGCGGCCTCAATCCCCTCCTCATCCTCGTCCTCCTCACGAGGCGCAGTTGCCGTGGAGACGGGAGAAAAGAGCTGCGGAGCGGACCCAAACGTGGTCTCGTCGTCGTCGTCATCGCCCTCTGCACAATGGAAGAAACCAACCGACAACCCCATCGGCTCCGTGGAGGCATCCGAGTGGGTCGGGCTGGTGGCCGAGAGGGCTGTGGTGGGTGGGTGGGGCGAGAGGAGTTCCGGTGGTGGCGGATCGGCGTACGTGGACGAATCAGACTTGCTCGGACACGGCGTCTTGGCCAGTTTGGTCGGAGGGGGCGTTTTTGGTGAGTGGGGCTGGTCGGCTTTCTTGTCGTCCACTCGCGATTCCAATTCTAGGTAGAGAGACAAGTTGAACCCGTTTAAGAAGATCAGCAATGCCCAAAACAAGAAAACCAAACCCTCGAGGCACGCACTAGGCTTCTCCTTCTTTTCCGGTTTCTTGGCAGACGAGGCCTTTTTCGGTTCATCAGCCACCTCCACCTCCTTCTCCTCCTCCGTCTCTTCCTTCTTAGCCGGCTGCTTGTCTGGAGGGGGCTGGGTAGCTGGCGGAGGCAGCGCAGTCGCAGTTTGCAGCTGCGCGCCAGGCGGCGTGTCTCCGAGGATGAGGCGGTGCTGGCTCCTGGTAAGACGAGGCAGGGCATCGCTGGTGGCCATAGCGCTGTCCTCCGATTCCTCGTCGTCGCCCGAAGACTCTGACACCTCACCTTCCTCCCCCTCCTCCACCGCCTCCTCTTCTTCCTCCTCCTCCAATTTCAAGGCGTTGGATTTGGCCTTCGGTTTACTTGGATGCGGTTTTGAGGACTCACCACGCGAACTGTCGCTTGACGTGCTCTTCCCGCGACCACGAACCGTCTTGGAGGCAGCAGGCGTGGAAGTCGACTTCTTCGTCTCCGACTTGGCTGGTACCGCTGGCTTCCTTGATGCCTACGGAGAAAGAGTCAAGTATATAAATGCCCCCGGTGGCAGAGGCAACAATAGAGACTCAATTCGAAAGGACAATGCTTATACAGGGTGAGACGACGTTAGCGCTTTTTCCGTCTTGCCAGTTGATGCCGCTGCCTTGGAGGAGGAGGATGATGACTTGGCTGGAGGCTTGGCCGTGGCAGCGTTCTTATTCGGCGTGGTGGATCGCGATTTCGACAAGGCCTCCTGCTTGATGCGTTTAGCAAGTGGTTGGTCCGACGCGTTGCCGGCTCTGCGAACTGGCGTCGCTGACTGCGTCTTCGCCGGCGGAAAGGCGTCCTCATCGGAACTGATGTCTTCCAAACCCTCAGTGGGGAGTTTGCTCGCGGACGCGACACTGAACCCCGCCGTGGTCGACGTGCTCTCCCCAGCGTCCCCTGTGAATGCGGCCGGAGAAATCAATAAATTAGGGCAACTCATTGGTTTACATTGTGGTCTACACACTACTTCACATTTCCACACGATCAGTGAGTAAGAGATGGAGGTGGCATTAGGGAAACCAAACACGAGACAGATTGTGCATTCCATCGGAAAAATCACAGCTTTTCATCAATAGGTGGTTGGGTTTGTGTCGCAAAGGCAGAAGCAGCAGATGCAAAAAGAAGTCACCCAGTTTTCGACACCAGTTTTCAAGGTCGATCAGGAAAGGCGCTATCTGTGGTAAAGCAATTAGGAAAATTAGCCGCTTGTGGGTAGATGGCATTTATGTAGTTTCGGAGCAAAACCGTTCAACTAAACTCTCCGAAAGTGGCCTCGTTTGCGGAGGGGAGGGGGGGTGTGTCGGCTTCTATCGTGCCATTTGCGATAAGCAAGATTATCTGCGAGGTAAGCTTACTACTCATAAGTTTCTTGAGAAGTTTCGGAGACTTTACGAGGGACGTGGCCGCGTCGACGATGCTACTTGACGACTTCGACGAAATCGGCTTGGTCCGCGGTTTGGCCGGACTCGTGGTCTCGGTGGCCGGACTTTCGACTTTGATGGACTTCTTTTCAACAGCACCAGCAGTAGAAGCAGCAGTGGCGGTGGGTGCGTTGGTTTCCAGCTGGTTGCGCCGTTTCTTGGAGGGCTGTGGATCTGTTGCTGCCGCAGCGGATACCGGTCGTTTAGCCGGGGGAACCGCTAAAATGCGTGACGAAAACCCAAAATCAGGGAGGTTGCCAGTATCACCAACAATTTCGCACCTGCCCACGACGTCCTGCGTCTCGACTTTGACACCCTAACACCCGAGAATCATTGTCGAAGCCAGCATTTCTCCAGACACCGTGGTTTTCATACAACTTGGCCTTGTTTCAAACTCACTTTTAAAATAAAAGTTCTCACCTATAACCCTCGTTCATCGTGATTCCTCGCACGGCGAAAATAGACTGGTGTATGTATTGGAAAAGGTGAAATTTACCAGTTTGTTCGCTTCGTGTGTGATCTTGCTTACAGCATTTCAGCCGCACGTTAGCCCACACAATGCCACGATGGCCGACGCCCTTCACTGCATGATGGACGGAGGGGGTCTGTGAACGGCGTTCTTGCTCCTCGCGGATTAGAATAAATCGACGTTTTTCATTCCTTCTTCGTGGAATCACTCGAAATGTGCGTGAATCGCAGGTGAACACTGCCTCATCCCATTTTCCACTCACACAACCAGCACAGGCAGCGGAAACTAACATCCTACTCATCAACTATACTCTACACACACACACTGTTCCTCATGAAGGAATGTACAGAGCATTGCCACCACCCACTCAATACCACGACCGACCATCGAGTGTGACACAATCGATGCTCTAAGACAGCCCGTCGTGCGGGGAGACAGCACCGCGTTCCCACAACGAATGCGTCCAAGCAGTATGAAAGGGAACGAGCAGCTCCACAACGGGCTGACGCCGACCCCGTAAACCAAGCAGACGACGTTTCCGAATTTTTGCCTGCAGAGTCAATGTCCCTGACCCTATTGCCAATTCGTGTTTGTGTGCGTGTCAATTGCTTGAAGCAACAAATCTAACCCCCATCTCTAGACAGACGAACACGCCCCGTAAACACGCGCTCTCTGCTTGGATTACAAAGCCTTATGGATCCCTACACATACACGCTTTGTTGGTGTAACAAAAAACCACACAGGAAACGCGTTCTATGTTTAGGTGATTGCCTGTGTAATCCTTGAAAACCGAAGCAAAAGTCTTTCGAAGAAGACACTGCACCAAGCTCACATAATCATCCAACGAGGTTAATGCTTCGGAGATTAAGGTCGACCACATCTGGGTTTGAGTCGTGCAATACTGCAGCACAAGAGAGAAAGAGACGAACAGGTACGATCACTAGACAAACCCGAAATTGCAGTCAACAAGAATCGCCTCACTCAACAAAACAACCAATCAGGATTGAAGCAATCCACCCGGGTTAATTAGCACCTCCAAGAAAAATCAGCCTATTAGTGGCATTGAACTGAGGGTATTTGCTGTTTACAACACACAATGTGTCTGCCAGTGGTTTTCAGCTGTTTTGTGCGTTCAAGGCGACCCATCACCTTACTTTGCACCACTAAACGCTAGAGACAAACACACCCCGTACATACGCGCTTCTCTGCTTTGAGTCATAACCAACAGAAGTCTGTTGTGGATCGTGTTTATTCACACCCCTTAATTCAGTAGCTCCACCTCCGAAACAGGGTTCCCCTTTTTGCAGCATGTCGCCAGCCGCGCGAATCCTCAATTCCCCACCCCTCACTCGCACGGATATTTATCTTGGATTATCCTCACACCTAGGTCTCGATGTTAGCGCATCTATGACTCACACATCTGAGGTACAAAAACACAGGCGCAAACCCCACCCATGACACGACGACACCAACGTGGTTGAGCTCTGAAGTAAACGGTTGTGTCCACATCCTCGCCGATCTTTTTCTTCACCACGCGTATCAGGAAAACGTAATCGGGCCAGGGATGATTCCGTGGCCCCGGCGTGGCTCAAGACCACATGCTGGGGCCCACAACAAGTCCGATACAAGAACACACTATTGTTGGATACAAAAACGCGTTAAACACTTCAGTCTCCAAAATAAGCACGAGAGCGTGCGAAGTTGCTTAAAAATAGTCGCAAGCATTAAAGTCGAGATCGAAGGGATGCTGAATATGCTATATTTAACAAGAGGACAACGCCCAGGAATCAGTAGCTAAAAAATTTCATCACTGTTTCAGATAAAACGATATTGAAGCTGGTGAAGCCGTCTTTAAAGGTCAAGCCCAGAGCGACTCATTAACACGACTGGCTGGTTTATTCACAATTCGAACTACTTGGGTGTTCTTGTAGCGGAAATAACAAAGCAGAAGGCAAGTGTCGGCAACTACAAACGAGTTGCCCTGGTGTAAAGGCCATGCCAAAATTGACACCCAAAGCACCCACCTTTGTTGTCTTCGGCAATCCTGGGTGCCTTCCTCACGACGGCGGCTTCGTCGTCGCACACCGTTGACGAGCTACGAGGTCGCTTGAGTCTGGCCGTGCCCAGATGACGCCGTTGCTGCCTTGTGTGAGTGGTCATTCCCGTGTCAGAGGCTGTATCGCCCAAGGCGCCGTCATCGCCTTCCTCGCCATCCAATCCAGAGTGAGTTTCGGTGCACGATGACGCCCTCTCGGACAGGTTCAGCGCTGAGCACGACGGAGACCGTCTAAAGTCCTTGATAACCGACCTGAAACAAAACCGACGAACTACGTAGTTGATGTGAGTAGTACATTTGTTTTAGGAGCACGCCAAAGCACTAACAGGATTCGATCCCGGGAGATGATCTCGTCGTGTCGGGCGTTCCAGCCGGCGTAGTGAACTCGGTATCGAATTTCACCGGTCGACGCGGTCAGAGGAGAAGGACAACTGGCGTCGGAGGTGTCGGTGACGCCACTTACGGCCGAGGAAGTGGATTTTAAACCCTCGGGCTGGCCGGCCGGGTGGATGTGCTGCACGATCTTGGCCTTGTACGAGTGACCCTTGTGACGAACTCGCACGATCGAACCAACGGGGATAGGCTACAACGCGAGAGGGGAAGTGGACGTCCCTTTGTCGTCAAGTAATGCATAGAGACTGAAGAATGACAACGGGTTCTGAACCTACTGTGAGCTTGTCACTGGTTGAGTGGCTTATTTCATTGCCTTTTTCGAAGGACGGTAGAACAGGACTGCTAGAGGCACTGTGGGACTCCTTGATCGTAGAACCCTCCAAGAGACCGCGCTGTAAGTGGACCGTATTTTTGTCAGTTGGGGCGCAATCGCTTGTTTTGGGAGCGGGATTCGAATCGTGTGGCGGTGCTGGCGTGGAAGGCTTCTTCGTGGAAGATGGCAGAGAGCTGGGAGGTGAGGTTTTCTTCACGGCCCGACCTTTGCCGCCGTCTGAGGCAGTCTGGAAAACACGAGATAGCAGTCGTGAGGGATCGGGAGAGGGTGCAAAGGTGGGGATTGGGAGCACAATGACGACTTACCGTTGTCTTCCGATCTTCCTTCGAAGCAACTGATGAAGCCTTCTTCTCTGGTCTTTCGGAAGGTTTCACAGTAGACTTGTCACCAGACGCCTCCTGCTTGGCGGCAGTAGTTGAAGACGAAGAGGCCTTTCGCTGTCCCACGGGTGTCGATGACGCCTGAGCCGAGGATCTACTGACCTTGGACTTCGCCTCAGTTCCCTGAAGGCACGTCAAACGACTGAATTAAAAGGTCTCGTCGAAACAAAATCAGAATTGCCAACAACGCATAATCAGTTTTGTACTCCGAGACAGAGGGCACATCCACAGATCGAAGCACGCAAGTAGCACATAGTCCTTTCACTGTGATCCGCTTTTACTCAAAAAGTACTCTTCTCTTCCACGACCTCCAAAATTGTGGATGTTATCCATGAGAAAAAATATGCCAGTTTGCAGGGTGTTAACGGCACCAGTGTTTGCCTCGTGTGGCGGAAGGTTCGTAGAGCAAAAGGTGTGTTCGCGAGAGATTTTGAAGAAAATAATCAGTAAAATACGTGATACACCAACGCAAACGGTTATTCCGTTAATGCTTTAATCTCACAATATAACAACACGTGTGTAGCAGCTGCCAGTGCGGTTGGCCTGAACACATCTTCGCCGTGGGTGATTGTGAGCGGCTGATTTTGCATAAATCCACTCGGCTGAATTAAGCATTGCCTCATCACACACACGCACACACACACAGGGAAACCAAGATTGCGGTACTCTGGGGGGTTAATAATTGACATGTTCAGGCGGAATTTCACCTTTGTTTCCTTATCGTCCTTGATGGAGGAGGCCTTCTTCTGGGTCAGCTCCTTCTTGCCCTCGTCAGGGCTGACTGACTTGGACGTCCGTTTGGTCGTTTGGGCGCCAGGCGTTGGGGTCTTGTCCGAGGACTTCGAGAATTTCAGTCCTGCGGAGTCACCAGCAGCAACAGTGGTGGACGGTTTCGACGTGGATCCACCGCCCGACGTCTTAGCAGGGGCTTGGGCCGTCGTCAGTTTGAGATTTCGGGGTCGAGAAATGGGGATTTCGTCGAGGTTGGTGCCGAGCTTTCGAGAGAGGTCGTCCAGCGGGAATAGGTACCTAGCGGGAAACCATCCGTATAACTTCCACGTAGCTTGTCGCCACTTTCAATTTGCAGAAACTCACTTCTTAAATGCTGTTTGCAAGTTGCGAGGCCCGGCTGTGAAGTTGTGCGGCAAATCCATCTCCGAGTAGACGGCGGCCCATTTGAGCTGAGAAGTTACCCGGTGGAAACCGCCCAACCGATGAACAATCTAAACGAAGGTAAAAGAAAAAAATCAAGTTAACGAGCACACCGGTTTGTGCATTCGGCCTCCCTACCCCCTAAAACCACGTAGCCGTCAGCGAGCGAACATTGTTAGCAGGCGTGAACGAGCACGGATTCGAGTACTCATCTAGAGCGTACTTCACGTCGCGACGACGCTAGCCCAGTGAGTGATGACATCTCACCAGGCTATCGATACACTCGACCACCGAGCCTTGAAAATGTAGGCTTCAACAACCTTTCGAAGTATTGAAGTGTTTAGTTAAAAGGCAGCTTTTACCTACTTGACCGAACAGAATACTGGTTAGGGTGGTTGGAACAACTTGGGATGTAGGTGACCTGGTGACGTACTCGGTAGAGTTTGTACAAATCGAGGTCCTTATTCGCTATACTCGGTGCCTTATTGATGGGTGTGCCTCGCTGGTCCATGAATCGGTAGAGGTGCGCAATCCACCTGTCTCTGGCTTCAAAGTTGGCCGGTGAGTCGCTGCTCGTGGAGTCGTCGGAGTCGGCCTTCTCCTCGCCTTCACTGTCGCTGGGCGCCGGAGTCTCAGAGCTAAAGGAGAAATTCCTCTGACGTCGGTGCGCACCGCGTTTACTGGCATCCCTGCTAGCGGACTTGGGAGTCTCCGTCTTGGTTCGACGACTGCGTTTGGGTTTTGGGTGGCCAGGCGAGGAGCGAGAGGAGGACGAGGGGGCTCCATCGTCGTCGTCGTCATCGTCGCTGGAATTTGACGGAGAGGAGGACGCGGAGGAGGGGGAGGACATGGAGCCTGTGGACGAAGACGAGGCGTCCGTCGATGAAAACGACGTCCGCTGTCGTCGACGTGGACGAGACTTCTTTCGGCTCGCCGTGGACTGCTGACGGGACTTCGAGGCATCGAGAGACTCCTCGTCGGAGTTGTCTAAATGACGCAAACACAATACCGACAGGTAAGACCAGACAGCACACTAAGGCGATGTCTGATGAAGCGCACGCACCTCCGCTTAGCCAACCAGGTCCCAGCAGCGCTTCCACATCGGAGCCCCAAGTTGCTGGAAGTTCGCGACGATCTAGCCATAGAATTGCCCGCTCGAAGGCCGTACGAAGGCCCGGATTTTGGTGAGCCAGCTTCACCGCCTTGGCGCGGGAAAGCACCTCAAGGCACGACCGTGGAACCGCGAAGCTAAAACAACAAATGACAACGGCTCGACAGGGTCCAAACGCGAACCAACACGTCTGAGTTGAACAACCACGAAAGCAGTCACTAGCTGGGAGAGTGTTACCTCTCCCACACACACACACACGTCTTTACTAACCTAGTACTAGAGCGGTTGGCTTCTCTACAAAGCAAAAACGTTATCATCCTATCTGCACTCAACAGAGTGTCTTTAAAAACGACACTCAGATCGACAAAGTCCACATTTACTTGCAAATAACTGCAAACTGCTCCAAACACGTGACGCCATAGAGCCAAAAATGACGATTGAAACGTAAACGAGGGAGAGAATGTTGTCGATTTCGTTAGCACGCTTTTATGATGTGGTTTTGTCAAAAAAACAAGTGAACATTTCCATATCAAAGCAGGGCAGAATTTGTGACACCATAAAAGCGTTTAACCGACACTTGAATGTAATCCATGCCGGTAAAAAACAAAGCGTTAAAATGTTGTGGAGGTCAAGTGATGGTGCACTGGGTTAAATAAGTCATTTGACAGTCGGGCGGCTTACAATCGGTTCTCCCTGAAAGACTTGACAAGAAAAACGGCATCACGGGTAGCCGCGTGGACGGCCTTTAGATCGATGGAGGGCATCGCGGAGGGAAGGACGACCAGACCTGGTGCGTAGCGGCGACGTGATGGAGTGGACGCCTCCGACGTTGTGCTCGTGTTCGACGCGCCTAAAGTCGACTGCGGGGCTTCATCTGAGAAGGAAAATGGAGCATGGGGTGAGGGAGGGGGGCTAGCTTCGCGATATCCAGGACCGCGGTAGAAGCACAGACGAGCGTACAACGTACTTTTGGACGGAATGGGCATATCGATCATGACCAGACTACCAAGAAGAGATTTGTAACCGGCGTCGTCTGGGTCATCGGGAGCAGGTGCAGGCGGGTTGGAGACGCTTGTGGGCGTCGCTGAGGAGGAAGCCGCTTGGGCCGCGGACCTGCGCCGAGGTGGCCTTCTGGGAGTTGGCTTGCCGCCGGCATCGGAGTCGCCAACTGAGGTGGTCTCAGCGAGTGTAGTCTCGTCCTCCTCCTCCTCTTCCTGGTCTTCCCCGTCCAGGTTTTCGCGGTCACCCTCGGTGTCCTCCTCCTCCTCTTCCTCCTCCAGACTGGATCTTAACAAAACAGGGCATTCCGTGGCATGGTTGTGCTCCGAGACTTTTTTCTAATTCATAAACCTGCGGCATTCATCGACTTCAGTGGGGCCGTAATGAACACCTACCTACCTTTACGGGCATCTCTTACGAACTCCCGACTGTTTGTGAGTGAACAGGGTGCTTGAGCCATCGCAACCTGTCCTAAGGAATGGAATTCCACCTTACATACGTGTGGAATAGCACATTTACTACGCCTCAACCCCAAATTTTAACGATGCTGCCATAGGCTTGCTAAATTAAGACAAAGTTTGTGATAATTTGCATAAGGCAAACCTTGGAAATGGATACACTTAAGAAGAAGAAGAAGAAGAAGGGTCATAAAAGTTTTCAAATCACATGATTACAGGATTGTGTGTGTGTGTGGGCTTTCTCCAAGAAAGGTAAATGTCTAAGAAGGCAAGTAAATGTCACTCACTGGTAGCGCCTACTACGGTCAATCACTGGCTGCTTGAACTGTTCGGGGTTCGTAAGCGGGAGTCGGTCGAGGCTTTCGCTTTCTTTGAAGTGGCGCTCACCTTTCAAAACTAACTGGGTTCGTTTTAGAACGCGTTTATCACCATCGTCAAAGACTAAAAGCCAAATGAGAATTATTATTGGGCGCTAAATTAGCAAGTAAGTGTGTGTGTGTGTGCGTTTTTAAGGCGGATTTAACGTACTAACAGTGTAGAGACTGAGATCGGTGATTTTGAGAACTGTCGCAGGCTGTGGATTTGGAGATGAATGCTCCTCGTTTTTCAACAAAACCATAACTTCACCGTTTGGTTCAACATGGTCGGAAACTACATTCGCCTTTTCGACTGAAACACACACCTGAAAAGCAAAACCAAGAAGGTGAACACGAAACGCCAAGAAAACAGACCTGCACTGAAAGGACTTGCAGGTGTGATAGCAAACGCACATCAGGCTGGAGCGCACTAAAAAAGTAGATGTTGCGAAGCACAATTTACCTTTTTCTGCTTGAGTTGAACACGGAGGCGATAGTTGACCTCTACCTTTTCTATGAGAGCCTCGCAGAAGGCGCCCCTGTACTTGGCACTGACCGCAGAGCCCTCCTTTAAAAATAAGGGGGCCTGTTTTGTCTCTTGGCCTCCGCCTCCCTCTGACGCACTCAAAATCGAGGAGGTTGGCGTTTCGGAGCCGACTCGAGAAGCGGCTAGTGTATCCGAATCACCCGGGAGTGACATCAAAAAGCGAGTCACCTGAAAATGGCGAATGCTGGTCATGCCATAGGAATGTTTAATGGCTGTTTGAGCACCGAGGTTAGTGAACACAACAGAAGACTTTAATTGTAAAATTGTTAGGAAGTCAGAAAATGCAACGTGTTAAACTTAAATGCATGTTTTTAGAAAAGCATCAATTTGTTGCATTAACGCATGACTGGAAAAAGAACGATATACCTTTCTAAAACGATACCTTGACCGCAGCATCATGCGATTATCGCATTTAATGAGCTATAACCATAAAACAATTTCGTGACCAGACATGAAAAGAAAAGCTAGCAAGTTTTCTGCACGCGAAAACCACAGTCTGGTGAGAACAGAATTGCAACGGTAGACAGTGTGTGTTGCAATAGCAGTAGAAATGGTAAACCTGATTTTAAAATCACAGACTCTTACCCGATTCTGTCAAGCCTAATAGGTGCATCCGTAACGATAGATAACCAAAAAATTGTCATTAGAAAACCCAACATTGATGAAGGGAAAACAAAACCTGTGTTTAAAAGAAACACCTTTCAAAAAAGAGACTAAAGAAGTTCACATATAGTACGTGCTTAAATTTCCCTTATTTGTATAGAAGAAAATATGCCATTAAAAAGGCAACAAGCTATAAAAGTAGGTAAATACGAGCTAAGACAAAATCTGTGCAGGAGGCCGCACCTACCGTCGAAGCGCACAATACCCTTGTGTGGACAGCATCTTCATCATCATCTTAAAGGCTTTTAGCTCATTAGACAATTACTGACATGATTACTAAGTAAATTGCTTTTTTTTAACAGGAGGTTTTAATGCTAGTAAAAATATTGCTGTTATATACGTAAGTAAATTTATTTTTAAAATTTGGCAGTTTTGATATTGATGATACTATTTCAATGGATCAAGATGTCTTTGCGCTGCGCAAACTACATTTAGCCTCTACATTGTTTTTCCACGCGGATAATGTCTACAGTTCCTTCGGTACTAACGTTATTCCATTTATATAAGCTTTATAAAATATCAGTACATAATTTTAACAAGTCTGTGATTTCATCATGAGCTTAGTGCTGAAAATTCCACGGATTATGATACTTCAATCATCGCGAATTTCGTAATTTTTCACGTAATTTGTTTTTAACTTTCAAGCGCCCCACGTCCTTTCACTCACTATTATTTGCACAGTAGTGGTTTTTCTGTTACTTAACTGTCAATTAATGAAGCCGTGGAAACTTCTGGAACTTAGCGATATTCCTGTTTTTTACTGAGGTTTTTAATTTAGTCTTTCTACCTGCATGGCTTTTCCCCTCTTTCGTCTAAAATGGCAGTTATGTTAAGCTTTTGTTTTCCAGGAAACTCTCGACTTTTCTAGCAAGAAAAAGAAAAAAACCAAGAACCCCGTGCCAGTAGCACCTCCAGAGGAAGAAAAGCCTGCTGAAGCCGTCAACGAGTTGCCCGATTTCGGAGCGAAAAAGAAGAAGCCGAAGCCAATTCCAGAGACAACCGAATCAACCACTGTTGATAATGCCGAGACATTGGATTTCGGTGCCAAGAAAAAGAAGAAGACTAACGTAGTTGTGACAATAAACGACGGCGCAACTGCCGCATCACCTGACGCCGCAGCAGCTGACAAGCTCTCAGACCAGTTGGGTGATCTGACATTCGCAGACAAGAAGAAGAAGGCAAAGCGACACATTGAGGAATCCGAACTCGCTGCTGCTGCTGGGGGTGAGGGTGCTGCTGCGGCCGCGGAAACGGGTGACGCGCAGCCCTCCACATACGGCTACCCCTACGAGACTCTCTTGGCGCGCGTCTTTGCTCAAATTCAAGCCAAAAATCCCGAGCTCATGTCCGACCAGAAGCGCCGACTCGTCATGGCTCCGCCGTGCATGGCGCGTGTCGGCACGAAAAAAACCCATTTCACCAACTTCACCAGCATCTGCCGATCTCTGGACCGTGATCCGGCTCACCTCTCGGCCTACATGTTCGCGGAGTTGGGAACGACTGGCTCCCTCGATGCCACTGGTGGGCTCCTTATCAAGGGGAAGTACCAAAGCAAACACATTGAACCTGTTCTGCGTAATTACGCTCGTAAGTTGCCCTCGCGCTGTGTTTATTTTCAATTGTCGTACCTGACAAGCCCAAAAGTACAACCGAGTCCTGTGCATTCGTGCGACCGTATCGAAGACTGCCGACCAACTAAAAACTCCTAGTCTTTTGGCATGGAGATATCTCTTGAATTTGTCCGATGTTGTTTACCGATTCTGGAGTTCTTTTTGTTTTTGAAGACAGAAGTACTCTGCCAACAAAAGACTCAGAATTCCTTAACAAAACGTGAATTTGGATGCATCCTAATTTAAAGTCGTTTGATCGGATATCTTGCAGCCTCCTAAGGCCTTTTTAGTACCGAGTTTGAAAGCAGAATCCCTTGTCGCACGCATTAAGTGATGCTTATTTGAATTATGAAACGCAAATTGTCCATTCTGGGCTCGTTTTGGCTCTATTAACGTTGCCTTTTTGTCTCATATCTTCCATGTGGTATTTTAATGCCTAGGAAACTCATGATCGCATCAAACAGGTGCTAATCTACCCTCGGATTTAGCTGTGACTGACAGAATTGACCTTGTTCGGTTGATTTTTTACCGGTCAATGGCGTGTTTTGTTTTGCCTAGGCTCTTACGTCCTCTGCAGCACCTGCCAATCTCCAGATACGTTTCTCTCGAAGGACTCGCGTCTCCTCTTCCTTCATTGCCGTCGTTGTGGTTCCAAGATAACCGTGAAGAACGTCACCTCTGGCTTCCAAGCCGTCACCGGCAAACGCGCTGCCATCCGAGCCAAGACCTAGAGACATCTTGCGTCTTGTCGCCAGTCCCCTCTCTCTCCGATTTGTCTAGCTTCCAAGTGTGTGTATCACTAAATACAGCGAAACGCATTATGTAGGGAGTGCGCAATTCATGAAACCTGTCGGTTTTTCTCACTCTGGGGGTATCTGAAATCCTGTCTGAGTCCCAGTCGATAATTAAGCAAACATAACTACTTTTATTTTGTAAGTAGGGTAGTTTTATAAGCTGATTGTCCCACACAGTCATCGTCTTGGCCTCCTAAATAAACGCATTGCTTACAATGGACATGCTGCCCCTTTGTGTAACGTGCTGTAGACATTTTGATTAACTGAGACGATTAGTTCGCGGATTTGACTTCACTAAAAGTCGTTTTTTTATTATTTGGATTTGTATCCTCCCATTCATTTAAAAAATTATGATAGTCGATCATATTTTGTCGGATTAGCGTTTCAATCATCGCCCGATCGTAACACAAGTTGGAAAACGCGGGTACACATTGGAGTGGACCAGACGCTTAAGCTGTTAGGCGTAATTAAAAATCTAATAGCTGAGTTGTTGATGATTGCGCAAAAATTGCTACTCTTGTTTTGCGAGTAGGATGGTTTTGAGGTGTTGGTTGTTGCATCTACCTAACTAGCCCTGCCGTACACAAAGGAGATGGCGACACCAGAGGTTCGTCCAATGTGCTGTAGACCTCGTTGGTCTGGTAACGCCCTCGTTGCTCGTCGCTTCCTGCTTCAGTGCGTTCGAATTTACCAAAAACTATTTGTTTTTTTAAATTTATTCCCCTTCCCGTTTATTGTTTTTTTAAAAAAATATAATGGGTGACGTCTTAATCACCCCCAAATAATAACACTTGTGGGAAAACCGGGGGAGTCTATTTCGAGTGGACTAGCTGAGACGAGATCGCTAATCCAACAGCTGGGGGGAGGGAGGGAAGGGGGGATCAGTCATTAAACGCGGGGGGTGTTACTGGGGGTGGGGGGTGGTGTGGAGTCCGATGATCCGTCAATTGAGAAGATCACGCGAGATGTGAGTGCGGTGGGCCGGCCCATGTGAGAGACGCCTGGTGCATGTCAATCGTGCTTATTGTCAGTCTGGTGTGTCGAAGGGGCGGTGTCGGAGGCTCTAGTCATGTGTAGATAATAAATTTGTGTGTCCTGACGCGGCAAGAGGCTATTAATTTTCGGTGGATCATATCGCACATGAGGTTCTGCGTGACTTTGTCACCAAAGCACCTCCCGAATTGATTAAAACTTTGCCCAATTAAGCAATTTGGACCGGTGACGCGACTCCGTCCCCATTACAAATCATTCTGGGTTGCTATTTTAGCTAGAAGCTTGAAGCAGACTAGATTTCTTGACACAGAAATCTTTCACCATCGTTACGATCGATTGATTTGGCATTTGTGGCAAAAAGTTGAAGGCTTAGCGAGTTTGACGCGCTGGTTTTCGGATAAAGTGGATTTCCCAAGACGAACTGGACTTGAACACGAACTGACTGTTCAGGAATTTTAGCCAAAACATCCACTCCTTCCTGGACAGTTTTGGCTTTCGCCTCCCTTGACCAATAAACGGGGTTGAACTGACGTGGCATTGACACCGGCATGACACGCTGTTTAGTTGACGCACCGAAATCCCACAGGAAGTGACGTTGATTAGTCAGCGAAGTGGACGTTGGATTTCAACAATGATCGGTGATATTCGACCGTTTTTTTTTCGTGCGCCTGTTGAGGTGGCCTTCAGACCTGTGGCGCGAAAGCAAATTCAATCGATTATTTTAAATGCACTTCACATCGTGATCGATCGATATCACTCGTTCCTTATAAACCGCACGCGCTCACTCTAGCGTTAAGTTGGTCGAGCCGGCAATTGCCTACGGTGTTCTTTCCTAGAAAGTTTCTTTTAAACAGCTTCATGGGCTACTCATCGCATGTAAATTACATAAAGCACACATTAAAACAAACCAGGAAAGATTTTAGTCTTCTGTCAAGATTCTTACATGTAGCCATAAAAATCAATAAAATTGTCGGATTGTTTTTAACCCCTATAATGTCAAGCTTATCATCGAAACGTCAGAACACATCAAGTAGAAGATGATTCACTGTCGTTTTTCGACAGGCTAATGTCATATTCTAACTGTTATCTCACTGGTCGATAAATGTCACCACCTGGTTTGTTTCGACTCTTGGTTCTTGTCCCTGTTGAGGTGGCTTTCAGACCTGTGATGCGAACACAAACTCAATCGATTTTTTTGAATTCACTTCACGTCGTGATCGATCGATATCACTCGTTCCTATATAAACCTCACGCGCCGGCAATTATCGACGGTTTTCTTTCGCATATAAATTGAAAGAGGCTCACATTAAAACTAACCGAGAGAAGGTTTTATTCTACTGTCAAGATGCTTACATGCAGCCATAAAAATCAATAAAATTGTGGGCTTGTTTTAACCCCTATAATGTCGAGTTTATCATCTAAACGTGAGAACACACCAAGTAGCCGCTGATTCACTGTCATTTTTGACATGCTAATGGTAGATTTTAACTGTTATCTCACTGGTCCATAAATGTCCCCACCGAGTTTGATATGAAAGACGTACATAGATTTTTTCAAGCCAATTACTGAGCAAGTCGACTAAATTTTTCTGTGTTCGGGCGCTTATCAACTTCGTGGAGGCATTTCAAATGAAACACGGCCTACTACCGGCCTGGCTAATCGTCCACTGCGAGCAAGTCTTGCGTTCAGCGCGGACTGTGAAAGAGATCCAGGCTGATCCGTCCGGAATAGTGCAATTGCTACATGCGACTTTCAAGGAGATCGGTGAGGTTGAATAAAACTTAAACCATGACAGATCGGTCCAGAGTGGCACGTTGCACTTCTGCTTGAAGCTGCATGAAGCCAGCTTAAATTCGTCTGTTGAGTTCCACCCTAAATTAAAGTGACTAAATTCGTGTCCCTTATTCCAAGCAGAATATCCGAGCATTACAGTTTCATTGAGCTTAAATTTGAGTTGACAATTGCGACAATCAAACACAGATCGCAGCCACTTTATGCGGATTTTCAGCGTTTAAGGTGGCCCATTAAAACACCGATCGGATTTGGCCAAGATCGCTGGATGGGGAGGAGCACGCGCGACTGGGGTGACAGTCAAACGCCTCTCCCTCCCCCGATTTAAAAATAAAAAATATTACCAGCGACGGGTCGTTATTGTCGAACGTGCTTGACAGTGAGAAGAGCTATTATCGAGTGGTCACGCTACCATCATGTCCCGCTTCGTTTGGCCCACTCCAACTCCATGTCCGATATTGCGCCTTGTTGGGGATTAATTGCGTCTCAGGTCAAGAAGATGTCAAGTTTTCCTGCAGCTCTCTGAGTTGTGGGCAGGAGATCAAAATCACTAACAACTGGGATCATATTGGCACACGTTTGTTACGAACCAGGCAAGGTGAAATTAACTGTAAAGATGACTGCAGCATGGCGCTAGTAACTTAACCCCCATTTAATCGGAGAAACATCGAGTTTGTCGAAGTGGCTCTTGCCTTTAAGGAAATTTTCGAACATGATTGAAAACCTTGCAGCATGATCTCCATTCAAGTAGGCGATAAGCCGGAAGTTTCGGCTGATGATCGCCTGAGTAAACAAACGATCAACAGGGGCAGGGTGAGTCAACAGACAGTGACGATTGGCAAACGAATTGCAAGAGCCCTCAAAAACTCAAAAAAGTCAGTCGCTTCTCACAGCCGCCTACACGCACCTACTGCGCAAATTGGACTACAAATAACCAGTGTGCACACGGTACGTGGGCTGTTTTTTGCACGACACAAGCTTGGAGGGTTCGCCTACTCCTTAATGAACATTAAATCAGCGTGCTCATTATCAACTGATTATCATTATTTTAAGTTACAAAGTGGCCAAAATGGCCAAATTTTAAACCAAAACTTGATGAAATTCCATTTCCAAGTTAATCAATAACTGGTCTGCTTTGAGATGAGTTTAATTATCGTGAACTGCTCCGTTAAGTTCGTCGATTTTTTTTATTATTTCTGAGTCAAACCAACTGCAAGAGGTGTACTTTCATTCCTGTTTGAAACACAAAATGCCCAAGCGTAGTTATTGTAATCGATTCCACTGTTTAAGTAAGCCATAATTGATTGGCTAAATAATCGGACCGATGTTGCCTCAGAAGGCAAATATTCTAGGCCTTCAGCAGCCAAATCAAACCGAGCCAAAGTCGAGGACCACGCACACCACGTCATCAAGTGTCTCCCATGTTTGTGTGGAACTGCACATGACGAAATAGACAAGAAAGCATCTCATTCAAGATCCTTCTGGAAACTATCGGGATCCAGACGTGTTCTCTGGAATTCACTGGCATTCCAAAACCAGTCACCGCTGAATCATCCACTTTTTTAAAGAAAATGGCTTTTTGACGGAGTCTGGGTTACCCAAACTTGCGGTATTTCTATCGAAACTTCCTACATAGCATGGCGGAAATTGTGGCAGTAGATTTCTGTCTGCAATTCAAGGATGTCGCGATCACGATGCACTTTTGTATTCCAAATCAGTTTTTCGCACATCCGTTGACACTTTGTTTATTGAGAAACCGTTTGTACCCCACAAATTTATAGAAATTCCTAGTTTTTTGCAATTTTTTATTGTTTTGCATCAAAAATTGATCGAGCAAGCATTAGGTATAAACGATTTCAGTCTATGTGCGTTCGTCAACATCAAACAAGCCATCAACTAGTTGCTTGGGAACTGGTGAAGTGGACAGGACGGTCGTACATTAAATCTTACTACCATGCCATATCTAAGTGAATTTGTGGTGATGTCAGCGTTTGCAATCAACCTATGTTATGTCAAATGATTGTCAGTGGTGATAACGGGACTGAACACGCAGATTTCTGCTAGTGCTTTGACATGGAACAGACCCAGTTCCCGAATTGGAAGGATAACAAGCGTTTAGACCGGTAGAAAACAAACTGTAAATCACCTTGTCAGATTCTGATACCCCGATGATATGTTTTTATGCTCTGTGTGATATGACCTTAACGCCACGCCTGTCACGGCCTACATAGTGTGAAATGTCGCCGATTTGACACCGAAATTTGGCTTCTCGTCTACATTAGGCGTTTTCAACTAAAGTCTACAGCGCCTCGTGAAAGAACGCGCATTCCTAAGCGTAAATATGTCAACGAGGGCTCATAAAACTGCAGGTTATATAAAAAGGCCTTGACATTGTCACATAAGTGTCAAAATTGTACAAAATCGGAAAAATACAGTCTAGGGGTATCAAAAATAAGATAGTACATTGAAAACTAAGCCAATTACGCTCGGCGTTTTGATTTGGTGACAACGCGCCTTCGTAGCCGTGTGATGCCGTGGACGTCCGTGGGGTGTCGACGCTCTGTGTGCTGCAGCAGATCCTCGAGCCGGTTGCAGGAGAAGCCGCAGCGTTCGCACACACGCAGCACCTCACGACGTTCGTGCGGCGCGAAGGACAGCACCACCTGGTGAACCTTCCGACGATGACCTTCAAGGGAACAGCGCTGGCTGAAACCGCGGCCACACTCCGGACACCGAAAGGGCTTGACCACTTGGCAAAAAAGTGGGAAAGTTAGGTGTGGAAGGCCTAGTCTCAATCCTACTACTACTATCGCTCTAACAGTGTGATTTCAGGTGACCATCAGCGAGTCCTAAAAAGGCCTACTTATTGAGGCTTACTGGTGTGCTTTCGAGTGTGGCGTTTCATGTCGTACTTGTCGTTGAAGCCTTTGAGGCAGTGCACGCAGAGGTGGAATTTGCTGCTGCTGTGCGACAGAAGGTGCTGATGCATCTGCTTGAGTTGCGGAGTTACCCGGCCGCATCCACGACAGGCGTACTGATTCTCGTCGTTCACGTAACCTACAAAATGCAGGCAATCGGCGTGATTAAACTCCACAAGGGTATTTCCATGTCCTTACAGGATAATTTGTCTGACCTGTTTTTAAAAGATGGAACACACGCAACTAAGAAACGATGCAAAAAACCAGCTCATGTCCTCTGAGAATCGTCTCATTATGCAGTTTACCTGATTTAAGGCCATTCGACCTATTGATGATCATTAGCCAATCGGAGCTTTGGGGAAAAGGGAAGCAATGGACCGATAATTACGACAGAAGTGGTCACGCACGCGACACCGGGGGCTCGTGGCTGCCACTTTGGGAGGCAAGAAAGCGGCCTAGCAACAGACGAGGGGGTCGTACTAATCGAGAGTTATTGGCCATCATAAGAAGAGCCCCCTTATCTGGTCTGTCTCATTTTTTACGAGCACGTGTCAAATGGCAGCTTATGCCTCTGTCTCAGTCCCGCCACTAATCCTTTGGTTGTGGCGTTCGATTAGTTAGTCGACTAAGCACCAGAGGTTAAAGAGGGTTATAACTCACACAGCATCTTCATAAGGTCCTCCAGCTGCTCCTTGCGGTCCACTGCAAAGGGATTTACGATTGCTGCGCCGTCATTGATGTATTGCAGCCGGGAATCACGATTTCTTAGCATTTCCTTCAGGGATGCAAAATTATGCAGTTATTTTTTAAGGTAAAGAGGGATCTCTTGACAACTGAAGCTTCAAAAATCTACGAAGCATCATTAGCATGAAAATATGAAACCTTTAAATGCACCAAGGCAAGCTACAAAGAAACTTGCAAAATTCAGTCTTTTACAGCTGGGCTTCTGGGCTTAAAGAACTTAACTGGTTTGGTTTTTTCTAAACTAGAAGATGCAAGGTTGGTAAAATATATAATTAGTTCAAGATCCTATCAGTGTATTGCATGGTTTAACTGAAACAATAAAAGCCATCGATTGAGCAGATTAGATGAACTCATGTTGTCGAAAATTCTAGTTAGAGGTTTCAAAGGACGAGGTCTGAATGCTTCAATAAGGTGGCTTACACTGATAACTTCTCGACAGCCTGGGGGTTCCGGGTGGTAGAGCAGGAGAGGCTCCTTCCCACCATCTCCAGCAGCGCCATGTTCGACGACCGAACTCGGCTCTGACTCGTCCTCCACAGGGCCCGTCCGTGTTTTTGCGTCCACCTCACTGCTGATGTCCACCTGGAACCGCTTGATGATGTCCTGGTACAAGGCGTTTACGCGGGCAAGATTCCAGGAGATGAGAGCCGCGTTCTCCTTTTCATCAACGGTCTTCCTGGAGTTGACTCGAAGATCGAGAACCTCACAGGGGTCATTCGAGGACGCATCGAGTGAGGAGGAGGTGAGCTGAATGGACTGAGAGCTGGCGAGGCTTTCAGCAGGGACCTTCTGCTGAGGTGTGGAGGAAAGCTGACATTTGAGGAAGTCGGTGAAGGCGAAGTAAAGCGGAGATGTGCTGCGACCTACAATGGAAGGTATTCGTTTGAAGATGGGTGGGCGCAGTGCTGTGCTATTTATAATCATTGAGGGAAATGTAGGAAATGGATATATCTGCTCAGACAACCGACCAGTTTGGGCAGTGTTGATTGTCAATGGGAGAGCGTAGTCGAAGGGATTATCGCTCATCGATGCGTGTTGCACTGTGACCTACTGTCCCAGTGACTTGTTGATCCCCCCTATCACAGATTATATTCAAAATCTCTCACCAGTCCTCGTTCGATCCGACGTTTCACACTTAAAGTTGCACGCACCCGATTGGATGTCCGACACCGCAAGTAGCCAATCGCGAGGGCGCGTGAGCACAAAGGCCACAAGGTGGTGAGCACCGTCTATCGAGCTGGTGAGTTCCGCTTGTGTGGGCGCCATCGACCAGTTACGGATTAAACACCACAAGTGACCTTATTTAGGTGCTTTCGGTATCCATTCAATAAACGTCTCGTAATTATTATTTTGGAATATAAGAAATCGATCTCCAGTTTGAGTACTAGGTCATTCTTGAATCAGCCTGCACCGGCTGTTGTTACTTGATTATACTATTAGTTAAACGTCCCAAATGCTGCGCGACGACCACTCCCCTAATCATGCCACTAGCTGTTGAGTTCCATGGTTCTTGGCGAATACTTTTCACCGGCACAATCTGCTGTCGCTGGGTCGGACGTGCATGGTGTAGCATTGCATTCTAGCTTTACAAGACTAACACATAACTTGACCATGAAAAATGAATTAAAAATTCGATTCCTTTGTGAATTCCACGAACTTGATTTTGATTTCGAGCAACTTATTGATTGCATTGGAGCACGTCCGCACTAATGGGTCACCATTATCGGTCGATAGATATATTTACAAACTGTCGTCATTGAACGACTATATTTATTTTCTAATTTACATTCCCTGAGCATTGACATCTAATAACGACCTGTGATTAATTTGAAGGTCATTTTGGAATAAAAGTGGAAAATTCGATGGAATAATCGATTAAAGCGAATTCACCTCCTCCGTAAAACAGATTTATTACGCATCCCCACTGTGGGCTACGATGTGGAAGGCTTTGTCGCCCCCGAATGCTAATCCAACGGAAGTCGACTGGTGTGAAAACTTGTTTCCGGTTGAACCACCAATAGGAAATGCGTTATGGACGAGAGAGCGGGGTCACAGACGAATCATCGACGACTAGGAAAATCGGACCACTTTGTGCAGCTATAATTTCAAATTGAGAGAAAAATTGCATTAAGATCTTTTAGTTTGACTCCTTTGGTGGCAAACACCGAAACGTCTGGTTGCAAGTAGCAACAGGAGGCAGCAATAACGAGGACCACAACAATTCTGGCGCATGAACCAACTGAGGTGTGGGAAAGTGCACTAAACCGACCTCTTCGTCCAATCACGAAACCTATAGACTTTTGAGCCAGTACGGTCTAAGTGCTGCATTGATTTTGGTGGACGGCTTCTTACCTTTGTCTGGGAATCTACACCCACGCACACCACTAACTTCGACAAGCCGACTGTTCAACTTCAACGCCCATTTCAGGAGCTATTGCCAACAAGCTGATCTCAGAACGACGGCATGAAGTCCGATGACGCACGCAGACTCTAATGCAAAGTTGAAATGTCTCAACAGAATCAGAGCTTGCGAGGAAGACAGTGAATCAACTTATATCTTATGAAAAAAAGATAAGAGAAAGAATATAGTACAGAGTAGGAGGAGCCCTAAGGTATGACAGTATGTACAATATGACAGGTCCGAGATCTGGTTAATGTTCGCGTGGCGCTGGACAGTTTATAGAGCTGGTGCCCCGGCGTCGTCATCCACCAGTCCAGAGAGCATCTGGACGGGATCGTAGCGCAGAATGTTGGCCGATACAACAGCGGGGAAGGCAAAGTCGTCAGGCAGACGCACGACCTCGTAGGACGCGTTCTCCAACATGTCAAAGGTCTTCAGGCCGGAGAAGCACACACGACTGCCCCCCGGCCACCCACAAACCTCCCAGTCGTCGCCCAGACAGCCGACACTGCTGGCGTCCTCAGACGCACTCGAGTCGGTCGCGCTTGCGTCGGAGTTGGCTGCGGCGTCGGCTGTTGGCGTGGCGGTCTCCTCGGACGGAGCGGAGAGCACGGACATGCTTATCTTCAGCCTGTGTTCACGCGCGCGACAAACCGAGCCCTCGGCGCTGGCAGCGTCTGTCAAGCGGATCACGTGGAAGGCCCTGAAACGGAAGCACAATGCATCACAACCATCCAATGACTGGCACATTCAAGTGTGCCATGTCGACCACACAACTTGGTCTAAAATCGATGACTTTTAAAGCTCTCACTCGCGCAGGAATGACGGAAAAATGCAGTAATTAAATCTACGAATTGAATTCATTACGGGTTGTGTGTGTCTGTGCAAAAAAAGTGTGAATCGCCTACTCAATGCAGGTGGAAATCGTTCTCATGAATCATACCATCACAACAAGGACAGTCACAAGTCCTTGTTGGCACAAGTCTTGAACCAACACGGAATTCGAGAAACCATCGTGTTCGACAACGGGCTCCAGTTTACCTCACAACGATTCGACTCGCTCCCCATGCTACAGTTAAACTGGCAAGCTGAATGCTTGATGGACGCCTTGAAGCGAGCCCTGCTGCAAGGGGACGACACCAGTCAAAGATCTACAAAATTTCTTCTTGGTAAATCTTTCAAAATCGCACGAGGATCTTTCAAACCGACAATCACCATCTGAGGCGCTAGTGGGCCGTAAGTTGCGGACAACAAAATCCGGCAAAGCGCACGTGCACGTTCGGGAATACCGCGACCAGAACGCGACCCAGGGATCGAGGGAACAAATTAGCAGACCGGGTTTGCAACCATGATACCGTTCGGCTGACACCGACGACAGCAGAATCACAATAACGACCGTACAGGGACCGGCTGGCAGTCAGAGACCTGAACAACGAACTATTCCAGGGAAAAGTCGCAATCAACTTCTTCGCAGGGGAGAGGTGTCCGTCACTAGACGGACAAGAAGGCCACCAACCTTGTTAAAAACGGACTTTGGTCTGTTCACGTAACGCTGCTGACGCTTTATTCCACTTTCTCGTTCGCCTGTGGCAACAGAAAACCACGAAGAGTAAGATACGATTTTTGGTTTTTCAACGGGATACAGCTCATAAATCTGCCTGCCTCAACCTGTACCACCAATAGGTAACACGACTATCCCCACGAAGGCATGCACAAATTCTCCACACCGAGTTCTTATTTTGGATTTCAGTTGGAGTGCGCCTCAAGTCTGCGAAAGGAGATTTCAACGAAGTTAATGAGACAGATGCCATCGACAAATGCGGGAACTGGTTATTAGGGCTGCAAGGAGTAGGCATTGGAACTTGGCGCCCGAGGTGGGTGCAACGCAAGTAACCCACCTTCGTCTGTACTTGATAAGGATATCCACACCGAAGTGATAGCCGGTCCACCGCCAGCTGCAAGTGTGCTCGCCACTGCTCATCCAGCGTCCGAACCGCTCCGAATGACGCCAAAACAGCGAGTCTGGAAGATCCGAGGGAGGACCGGGGAGTTCGCGACCATCCGAAGACGCTGACGTTTGTTGATGCCTGGCTGCGTCGCCGTTCAGACGAGGTGAGAGGTAGGCTGCCAGGAAAGTGGCGTTGGCGGCGGTCGACCTGAGAGTTCCTGCATGATGGTGGTGGTGGTGGGTTGAGGAGGTCGAACACTGTGCCTCGTGGCTAAGAAGGAGCTGCATCCACTGGCGTTGGAAGGCCTCCAAGAGCCAGACTAGACAACACAGAACGATGACACATCAAACGGCGAAAAAGGAGGCAACCAGCGCGAGACGGCTTACTACCTCGAGGGACGATGCGATCCTGCACTATTCGTTGAGTCGCTTTGTAAATGGACACCACGTGCTCCCACCGAACACCGCGGAACACCGCCGCGTAGGCAGCGCCGTCCGGAGATTCCAGAAAACCCGCCTCTGAGAGCAAAAAAACAAGGCGAAATCAGCGTGAGCCTGAGGACGTCAACGCGACGGGTCTGTCAATAAATAGCCGCTAACATGTGATTCGGGTGTAGTGCTGAGTGGCACGAGCCAACGCGAGACGTCTGTGCGCACGTCAGACAAGAAGGTGACAGCAGCCTTAAATGATGCCTGGCACTGTCTCTAGAGTCAGTTTAGGGTGACAGTGAAGCGTGATACTGGCAAGCCTGTGAGAATGGAAGAAATCCGAGTTTTCTGCAAAAAGATCCCGAATCAAGCCACGCAGACACGCCAAGCAGTCCGTAATTTGAGATATTAGACACACGAACGTGCATCAAGACTGCCTCACGAGGTTCTTATTCGAATCATCGTCTATTTTTCGCCAACCGTACAAAGCTAGAGGATTAGTCTGTCACGTGGGTGGTGGGGTTAGGGGCATTTAAAAATGATAAGTAATCGACGACGGTGTTGTGAACTAGAAAGTGAGTGATACGGCAGCTCGAAAGGCAGATTAAACTGAACTAAACCAACCGGCCAAATCAATTAATATAGAATTTTGCACTGAAATGGTAAGAGTTAATAACAGTTCGTGCGGAAACCACGAGATGATAACAGAGGGCTAGCTGGTGTTTAAGTCATTCATTGCCACGCTATCACAATTACGAGCGACAGCCTTAAAAACGCAAAACGATGCCACAGTTACGAGGAATTCAGGCGTGAGAGAAATTTTGTGAAGAAAAAGGGGAAACCACACAACACGGAGGCAAGCAGTGGGTCTTTCAAAAGCAAAAAAGCTTAAGGACTAAACTTCATGGAAAGCATTCATCAAAGAGCGTGTGAAAGAGGGAGTTCGAACAGGAGACCATATTTGCCAGAGGAGTACGGTTGCACTTGACTAGACAGACGCAAGGTCTAGCCTTCAAAGTGAAGTCCTTTTGGTCGAAAATATGCGCGGAGGGTGGCTAGGTGGGTATGCAAATAGAAACGGCGCAAACCTTTTCTACATTGAATAGCCATTCAGTGTGGTGACTCGCTTGCTTCTGGGTCGTGCAATGGCAGTGTCGAAGTTGCTTTTCAAAGGGACGATTTACCCGCCAGATAATTCAACTTGTGATCATCCATTTTAAACGGGGGGTACAAGTTGGTGACTTTTTAGATTAGAAAGGTACTTTACCAGGTGCTACACCCTGTAAAACACTTGTGTGCACCGCGGCTACAACCAATTACCTCCGGGTGATATCCACTTTTGATTGCTTAGCTTCCGCCGTTTCACATGAAGACCATTCTTTGGGTGTTGTTTAAATTCTACAAAATGTAGCTTGCAGCAGTGGAGTACCACCAAAGCACAATTAATCAAGGGACTTGATTTGTGTCTCCAAACGGCTTGGCCCACAAGAATCGAAGCCTTTTGATTAGCAAGTACCAACCCAAGAGCGGGACGCAAGGGAAGCTGCAGGCGACTATAAATAAGATGCGGAGGCGCGTATTTCAAGGCTGCAACGAAGACCGTGTCGGTGTTGTTGTCTTTTAACTGAACAAGGACTCACCAGTTGTGGTGTAGTACTGGTAGGCTTCTTTGAGTAGCTGCGCTGCGGGACAGTACTCCTTGTCTGGGTGGTGTTGCAGGTAGAGCCACTGGAAGAAATTAAGACAAACATGAGCACGCATTTATCGGTTGGCGCTTTCGAAGAGGAAACCAAGATTGTGGACACAAGGGACGGTGGATGCGACCTACGCTTGTGTGTTCTGCTTCAGCCTATAGGTAGATAAAGCCTACGGAAATAAAAGACGATCACATGGGCCATGGTGATTTTGTTTCCATTTGAAGAGAGGGCAAAAGGGAGCCTCGTTGGAGGCGAAATAAACGATTACATAACAGATCGTTTTCCCATGAGGAGGTCATTCAACCGTTGCAACAACACAGAGAACCGTATTAAGGGCTTGAATGTGCATCAAATGAGACAATATCGTGCGCAATGACAGATTAAAGGCAGACAAAAATAGTGGTGGACGCCGTAGTGTTAACACGAGCAAAACACCGAAATAAGTTGAGCCTGAGTCCAGTGGAATGGGTGTTTATGCGCGGTCTTGGAAATAAAAGGACATCGACATGGTGTCACTGCCTGTCCTTAAATGTACTATATTGGCAAATTTTTAACCTAAAATTAAGCCAATTTTGCAGGAGCATCATAAAGACCACATGACACGCTGGGAGCGAGGTGATTGGATAAAATCGACGCAGGGGGAAACGCAGGTGTTTATAGGACATCCGAGTTGGGCATCGACGTAAACTACGAAAAAAGTACGGAATTTGGGGAGGAGACACGGACGTTGCCGACCCAAAGCACAAACCCGACATCGAGGAGTTGGTGGGTGGTCAGAAAACCAAACGCCACTTGAGTACAAGCCAATCAGGTAGATCTGCTGGAGACTATTTGGATGTGCGGTGATCAGACACACGTATAACCGTGAGAGAGTGCAGTGTTTGGTTGAAAATTTGGTGCGTTTACCAGTGACGGGATTTTTAAAAAAACAGCATTTTTGATAGAGAGGAACCCAAAAGCAGGTTCCTAAAGTGAAATGGCTTCCAGATCAGGCAGTAGCCAGCAAATTAAAACAAACTTAAGTGATAGTTATCCAAAAAGACACCGATTTACAAAATTGCGTGAAGTTGTGGGGACCAATAGGAGAAGGGAGAAGCAAATGACCAAGACGAGTCGACTTACTTTGAGGAGGCAGATGAAGACATCCTGTTCTAGTTGAATTACGACTAATTTGGGGTGACGCACCACGGAGTGCATTAGTGGGATCCTAAAAAAATCAGGAAATGAGACGGAAAAATGTACCCAGCAAGTCATTTGGGGTCTCAGCATAAAGTGCTCGTGGCACAAAGTGATGGATCGTAAGCAAAGGCGATGTAGTCGCAATCACGGCCACCGTTAACACGTTATAGTGATCCATGATAATTCGCGTCCATCGTCTCACATGCTAGATGTGTGCACAGTCATTTAGCACACGAGAACGATGTCAAACGAGGTGTTGCAAGCCACAGGAGAATTTTTCAGGCTGGCAGGAACATTCATGAGAATGCTGCACCAAAAAAGAACACACAAAAACACTGAACTTAAGTAATCGTGGTTTGGCAGGCGACAAGGATTATACGTCCACGAACGATCGATAAACACAACCTTATAGACGAAAAGGCCTACAACTCCATCATAAGACAGGCGTTTGTTTAAATGGAACGATAACTCACGGGATTCGTTTCAGCAAAGAGAAGAACACAGGGGTATCAGGAAGGACAAGCAGCTTTTGAGATAACCAGTTAACACATGTCTGAGAGAGTTCAGGCAGGTTGTACTTGCCAGCAATTGTGTACAAGTCAATCAGTGTGTCCAGTCTAAGGAACTATGAACAGTAACTACATTACGCATTACCTGACAGTACGTCGAAGAAAATCACTGCACAAACGCCGAATATCCTCAAGGTGGAACCAGGTAGCAGCAGCTAGAATACTTAATACAGTCTTAGTGTAAAGGGCAAAAAAATGGTATACCTGATCAGAAAGCGTTACACTGTCCAGGTAGAATGACCCAAAAACCACATGCAGAGCTTCGTGAGTGATGTTTTCGTCGGATAACTCCAGAATAATGCGATTGCTTTCGCTTTCCTTCCAACCGCCTTCAAGCATGGCAGCAAAAAATGGTGATTGTTTGATGTAAATCCGGTGCAGGGCCCAATCTCGACCCAAGGCCGACACCGTGATGTCGCTCCCCTCGCCTCTGCAAAATAACTCCCGATAAACGTGTTCATAGGTCGACCTTATGCGTTTTCTAATATTAAAATTGCACTAGTGAAATGTAATAGCCATATATTCATTTCACCTAAACGGTGATAAATGTGGCGAGATTAATGTGATACATCTCGAAAGCTAGGAAATACAAGTATATCGACAACGACCTAAAACTGAAAAACTACAAACCAGATTCATAAATAACAATGAATAACCGAAAAGACTGCAAATGAAAATTGCGCAGAATCAATATATGGCAAGATCATCTGAGAAAAGAGAGAACAGGTTAAATAGACTAAAATAAATTTTAAAAAAATCGTCAAGAAGTTAAAAAACTATACCAACGAATTGATAATGCCCAAGCCTAATTTATTATATTTGATAATATTTCAGTCGATAAATATAGATGTTATCGAAGGTGGGATTAGTAGCCTGAGCAGAACCATTGTAAGGTCAGAGGTTCAACGAGATCGGAAACTAAATGGTCAGTATGTTAAATGATACAAATCAGGCACAAAAGCATTATGAAAGCCAAAAACGATCATTCATTGGATAAAACCAGCGCCACAAAAGAACAGATAAGACTATAATCCAAGGTAAGTCATGCTAGAGATGTTCCGCCGCTAAAGAAATTGCCATAATGCAGACCATCTTATTGCTTCATTAGCACTTCAATGTGAAACTGATGACATCGATTAGATGCTGTGTGAGGAAAAAATCCAACCAGTGACTTACTTAAGAGGCGAAGGATTATCATCTATTGATGATTGACACTGTTTACGCTTTCTAGAAGAACTTGGCGCTGATTTATGAAATGACAGAAAAGCCCCCATCCCCACGAACTGTAAATCGAACAAAGCCGAAGGCCAAACAGCTGGTCGACGCCAGATCACATTACGCGCATGTCGTTACTTAGCAAAACAAAAGCATAACAAAACATTAACTATAATTATTGTAAAGCAACACCATGTTAATTAATATTTTTCATGTGTTCTTCTGACACAGGTCATATACATGCCAATGTCTGTCTCAATGACAACTGGATGTCAAAAATTTCCGGTGATGGTTGGAGATAAATAAAGTCATCTCCCAATTCAAAATATGGCTTGATAACTGTTAGAGGTAACTTACTTATCTAATTTTTCGAGGATATCTGACAGTGTTATGCTTCACTACGCTTACCATATTTCATGCTTTTAAATTGTATTGCATTTAATATGTCGTTCGACAATGGTATGCTTGTACCGATGGCAGGTGGAAACGTCCATCATAACATTAGAAGTTTCTCCCTCAAAATAATGATTCAATTAACTATGTTCCGTTAAATTTCGCTCGGAGTATTAAGTAGATTCTCTATCTGAAACATGCATAATTGGGGTCGGGTGTTTTGCGTGACATTAACGGTGTAAAAAATTGGTAGGTCTTTATGAAGGCGAAAATTTCTGCACTTTAACTTGTGAACTTCAAGAAATTGAATGGCAAGCATAGATAATCTAGTCAGCGGCGAAGCAACTTGTGATTTAAACATACTTTGCCTAGAAACTGGGGTTCAAAAGTCCCTTAAATTAAGACATCGCAATTAACGGGTTTTAACACCTCACCGAGAAACATCTGATATCTTTTTTACTAGACTTATATTTGCTTGAAATGACACACGAGGTAAGGCATTAATGTGTATTTTGGAAGAATATTACGAGACAGCTTCTGCCTTTTTTGGTGGAATGTTTAATTTTTATAAACTAAAATGTTACTCTTAGATAGTTGACCTAAAAGATGTTCAGACAGAAGGCTGTGCAGATGCATATAGTAGGTAAATTGCACAACTTAGGCATTTATACTTGGAAACAGAGAAATATTCATGTAAACTCAAACAGAGATATTAGATTTCTTCAAGAATACAGCGATCAATAAATTTTGTTGTCCCTACTAATTGTGACACGCCAACATACACGTCGAAAACGTCCATATGATCACAAACTAACCGGATGGTGCGCCCTGATTTGTCACTCAACATCTTGGTGGTATTATGAATCAGAGCCACTGCCAATAAACGCGGGTCCCAAGGACCTACATCATCTTCACTTGAACGACTTCCACCAAACGAGTATTGACGAAAAAAGACGATATTGAGACGTTGTGCACAAGTTTTGGACCTTGAGAATGCAGTTGTGTAAACAGAACTGATTGCTATATACAAAATCAAAAAATCTGAAGATACGGATTGGTTAGTACAAGGGAATCTAAAACATGCTGATTATATCCCAAAATCCAACCCGATAACGGTGTCATAATACGGAATGCTGGATTTGGTTGTATAAAACATTCATTCTTCAATTAGAAGGTACAATAAAACGCTCAATTTTCGAGATTGTATACTGACTAGGAAATTTAAGTTAGCAGTAAAATGGCTCTGCAGTATTCTGCACTACTGCAACAAGTCAAGCACACTCCAGTCACTCGTCTGCTTCCACTTCGAAGTCTCCTTCGGACCGAGCACAGCTCGACCAAGTTGAACCGACTGCTCCAATTGGCGCTTTAGCTGTTGGGCCGCCTTTTTAACGGCTGCCTCATCTACAGCGAAGAGAAGCTCTCTGTGCGCCTGGCGTTTCTCGTCGTCGATGCCCGTCAAAAAGGCCTGCAGACCACGCGCGCCCGCGGAAACAGGACAGTCCAACTATAATGGAAGTCCAGAAACAGGTTTGAACGGGGAAAAACAGTAGAAGGGCCTAACGCAGACCTAGGCAAAATCCATTCCACCGATCGCTTACCTCTTGGAACACCGACAGCTTGGCCTCCGTTAGCGCCTGTTCAGTGAAGTCGTTCGTGAGGGCGAAGTCGAGCGACTCCTCGAATAGCTTCAGAGTTGCATCTGCAGATGGATCTCTAAAATATAGGGAAAACCTCATTTGTTAAACATCAAATAAACACCGATAGAGCTGCTTCAAATGTACTGGCCAAGGAATCGATCTTGGCGTTACGAAAGGCAACAAGCCAGGCGCATGGGGGTCAATCAAAACCAAAAAAATAAGAGTCACGGGATTACGATAAAGAAATTGCGTCCCAAATGGTTGATAACACCGTGCCGACACGACTGTGACTCAGGTTCTCTGGTTTGGGTCAGATGCATCAAAAATCAAAGTGGCCGCCAACACACTGGCTAAACAACAAATGGCGCGGGAAACAATCGTGTTTAGATTATGTTTGACGATCGGTACTGTCTAAATACACAGTAGAACACGCCTAAGGAGGTTAGGCAACGTGTCTAATAGGCGTGGTGCAACCAGAATTTGGCGTTCCAAGAAGCGGTCGAAGGACTACCTGTAGGAGTAAAAGGCGAAGCGCCCTGGAGACACCCCGCTCCCACCGCCGTAAGCACCGCCCTGCTCCCTGAAAAGCAGTACACAAGCAAAAAACAATTACTAAAACAATTACATAACGATGATGGTTTTTTTTTCAAAAATCCGTGGTGCTCGTCTAATTTATATAGCAAATTCGTGCTTGTCACTACCAAAAAGTGGGCATTCCAGATTACCACGGCAACAAACTCAGCTGCATAGGCACGTTCGAAATCCAGAACATTGCTGCGTTTTGTGCTCTGTGGGTGGTGACACGCTCTAGTTGCTGCGTTTTATGGGGTTTGGCATAATGACGTCCATTGAATAAAAGGAAAAAAAACAAGAAGTCCACATACCGGATGGCGGAATGAAGGAATTTCGAGTTGAGGAGGTGCGACAACGTGCGATAACTAGAAAAAGAATCAATTCGGTGAATGTGGCAAGAGGAGAATACTAAAATGTGCATAATCATCTCTAGAACTGACCGCCAACTGTTATCGGGAAACAATAATCAATCTCTCTCTCTCTCTGAACTTATCGAAAACCTGGCCAGACCTTGACTGATGTTTAAAACAAAGGCTGGCGGCGCTTTTAAGCCGTCCAACCTGAATTTCGCTTCTACTCTCCAGCGATATTTCGTGTAGAAGTTAAGACCAACGTCCACATTGCCAGAATGAATCAACAAGCGTAAATCGAAGTCGGTGGCGCTTTTCACTTAAATGTCAGCATTAAATG